CTAAACATGTCTTGGTTCCGTCAAATTTGTACCCTGATCTCCGTTCTCTCTTCCTTTTTGCTCCTTCAATGTACTTTCATAAGCAGTGAGAAACAGCAAAATGTTGCTGGATTTCGTGGAAGCATGCGGCAGCTTGAACCCAGGAGGTATCTAGCTGATGGGAGGTACGATCTGAATGCACGTCCGATGCAAGGGCAAAGTGTCTTCCGGGCCATTTGGGATGTGCCCAATTTCTGCAAAGATCGCTACAGCATCGATATACCTCTTGGGGCCTACGGAATTGAATTCAACCAAAATCACGAGTGGCGAGTTGGTGATGTTCTGAATGTATTTAACCATCAGTCTGGGTGCTTTCCCTACGTGAATCGTACGACTGGAATATTCATGAATGGCGGTCTTCCCCAGGTAGGCCTATAAACCAGACAAAATTGAATTCAGCTGCGAGACATGCGTTCGTTGATATTTAATTTTGGTTATGCAGTTTCATAGAAAGAATGTTGAACATCATGGCCCGTACTCTACTGATTCAGTTAAACCCGACCTCGGGTCTCAGATCACATTGACAATAAAAGGAGAGTTAAAGTCACTTTGTTTTTTCCACCAAAATTGTATCAAACTTTTCAATAAGAATACGGAAAGCATAGTTATTTCAGTGTAAATCACATCCAACCCATGCTATGTTTATTTTCAATTGGTTTGATGTCGACCTTCGCGATTTTAATCAATGAGAAAATTTTCTGTTCAAACTGAAACGATACATAAGTAACGATTATATAGATCACGATAATTTCTTTTTTTCTAGCCAAGTGTATGACAGCATGTTTCCTGCTAAAAGTAATCTTCTGAAATAATCCTTCTTTTTAAAAAAAAACAGCTTGGGAACATCACAGCCCATCTGGAAAAGATGGCGGATGACATCAATCGGGAGATACCAGATCGGCAATATAATGGCCTCGTAATGATAGATTGGGAGGAGTGGAGTCCACAGTGGTTAGGAACTGAGCCTCGCTACCGGAGATTCTCTATGGACAGTGTTCGCAGTAAGCACCCGGGATGGGACAATGCTACTATCGAGGCTGTTGCAAAGCTGGAGTGGACGCAGGGCGCTAAGCTTTTCATGGAAAGCACCCTTAAGCTGTTCAAGCAGCTGAGGCCTGAATCACTGTGGGGCTACTATAGATACCCACAATGCGCAGTCAAGTTTGGGCGCATCCCAGAGTGTCAGCCTGATCAGGGGAAACTAAACGACCAGAGTCTCTGGTTGGTCGACGCGTCATCTATCCTATATCCGAGTATCTACTTGAAACCCGAGAAGTTCGCTGACTTTGCAGGTGCGGTGGGAGCAAAGCTTGAGGAGACATTCAGGGTGCTAACCGAGTCTAAATATCCTGATGGAGCTGTAATGAGCTACACAAGATTCAATTATTCTCTCACCGATTACTATTTCACTTTGGTAAGAGCATAATGTATTACAATGAAATAATTTAATTAAGAAGGCTATCACGGAATATCTGAAGGGATTATTCGGACGTCAGTGGACGCCTCGATCAGGAGAGGTCTTTTCCTTGAAAAAAAAAAAAAAAAATACGTGATGCAAGCAACTTCCTCCGAAGTTCGTTTTCAAAAGCCAGATTCAAGATTCACCAGGTCCAAGATGTAAAATAGATTTATTTCTGATCTTGTGTACCTGTATAAATATGTATGAATAAATAAATAAATAAATGTTGTTTAAAACATATTGCACTAAGATGATCTTTTAACTACTGTATGCTGCTTGGGCAGATCAAGATTAGGAGGTGGTGCCGTAGTCGAGTGATTAAACACTTGTCTGTAGATGCGAAGCTCTTGGGTTCCAGCCTCGGCAAGGCATTCCATGTGGTTTCCGTTGACAGGACATTAATATACGTTTGCCATCCAGGTATTAAATGAGTACTGGTAGGGAGGGGTAGGGAGGGGGTAGGGAGGGGTATAGGGAGGGGTAGAGATCGATGAATTCCTTGAATGTTGTGGGTACTGAATCCGATCAGTAGAATTGCAAGAACCATGGTAATATTGGAGCGCCTTGGGTACATTAAACACCTTGAGTGGTAGATATATTTGGGCGTATTATTATTATTATTATTATTATGATCGCTATCATCATCATCACCACTATTTATTAATGCAAAGTTGGTTCTAGCTAGGACACCTACCCCTGGACAACTATCCTAGGGGTTAGTTGTCGGGGGGGGGTAGTTGTCGTAGGGGGTAGTTGTCTGGGGGTAGTTGTCCTAGGGGTAAATGTCCAGGGGGTAGTTGTCTCGGGGGTATAGTGGTCCTAGAGGGTGGTTGCGCTAGGGGGTGGTTGTCCTAGGGGATAGTTGACTAGGGCGGTTATCCGGGGTGGATGTCAGGGGGTAGGTTTCCAGATACGTACAAAGTTCAACCTCTTTTGGGGTGTTTGGCGAGGGTAATATATCCTTCAGTTAGGATCAGGGCACTCTATCTCATACCGAAGTGTAACGTCATACTGACCAAGTTGTAGGTTGCAGGTTACAAACACTTTTCTGCCAAGCAACCCGGTCTGGTGATCACCCAGCCCCAAGCACTGAATTTGCCCGGCTCCAGACCGTTGCTTAAATGATTTACGGTTAACCCCATGCGAAGAAAATGTTGTTTTAAACCAGTGACCTAGACGACGAGAGAATATGACGTTAGCAGTCCGGTACTCTATATTTATTTAATAATAATAATAATAATAATAATTATCCCTGCTTATATAGCAAGGATAACACTTATTTTATCAGAAGTCTCTAAGCACTCTACAATAATGCAGCATAATTAATGTGGAAAATGTAGATCAATGTCTTGCCAAACGACATTAGTGCGCCGGCGGGACTCGAACCGCGGACCTTGTGATCAACAGTCCGGCGACGTATCCACTCGACCACAACACCCCTAATGAGCATGTTGACGTCTTTCTAATTACTTCTTTTCTTCTATCACTGTACAGGAAGATTTGAACAACACCATTTTGACCTCGGCCGAATTTGGCACCCACGGTGTAGTGCTCTGGGGAGACAACTACGATGATAAGACGTCACAGAGCTGTCAAGAGCTGAGAGACTACGTCATCAAAGCCCTCGGACCTACAGTGGTCATGGCTAAAGAGGGGGCCGAATCGTGCAGTAGGAGAGTTTGCTCAGGGCGAGGAAGATGCGTCGGTGAGATACTTACTTGTGTCAAAGGCGACCATGGGGAAAAGAAAAAGAACATAGGAGAGAAGATAGTGTTTGTACTTGTAGATGCTTTGTTGGATGGCAAGGATATGATTGTAGTGAGAGTAAGTTGGTTCCTGGTAAAGAGTGAAAATTATTTGTGAGCTTTCTTATTTTCGTAAGGGCCTATGTCAGTTTGAAAGAATATCGTGCTAGAAATGTCTTCCGAGAAGGATTGCTTATTAAAGGTACTATGTCCCATTTGCAGGCCAAAAAATGAAAAGGTTAAATTCCAACAGCATTTGAAAGAGCATACTCATTTAAAACTTCCCTAAAGAAAGGGGGCTTGAAAAATGTCTTTAAGTGAGAAAAAATAACGAATATTAGTTGTCGAATTGACTTAAGTGTTACCAAGTCAGTAAGTAATAGTTTGATTTTCAGACAATATTGTACCGGATGTTCGTACGTCTTGTGCTGCGCAAAGATTCAATCGTTAATTTCGGCCATTACAAGAAGTGGGTTATTTATGTAGACAAATGCTCATGTACCCTTTACAGCTTAATTTATTCAGTTATTACCAAAGAAGAAAACAGCCACTCAACTCAACTAGTGTCTGACAGTGAAGTCTAGCAAGTAAACGGGTTTCCTAGCGTAATTTGAATATTAGGACACTGCTTACGCTTAAATTTCACAGATAGGACATACATGAAATATTCATAATTCCTGCAAAGTTCTACAAAATTTGATGCTGGCTGCAAAAGGGACATAGTAGCTTTAATATGCCCTCATATTCGAAACATGATAAGTAATAAATAATAAATTTCACTTCAAACATCAATTTGTATGGACATACTTGAACCTTTACTTTCGAACTATTACACAATTATGTAATCGCATGTCATGACGGGAGAAAGTTTTATCTTCAAATGAACACTTGAATTAATATTTATATTTCTTAGTTGTTGATGAAGCTTATTGTTTCTGGAAGAGGCGACATAAATGTCAATTTTGGTGAGGTCATTAATGATGCTTTAAAAAAATATCTTGTCTCTCTGGAAAAGGTAGTTATATAAACAAAGTATGGATGGACTTTAGTATAGAAACAATGTGATTTTGGGGGATTAGATTAAAGGGGAAGTGAGAGGTTGGTTTAATGGAAACAGGTCAGGGAAAATTTGAGCAAAATCCGATTAAAATTATATAGTTATGAATTGTTGAAGTTGCGATCAATCAAACGCAAATTGGCAACTCTGTGACGTATCTTGCCAATTCCTGTTTGATTGATTGCAACTTATTGGCATTGGCATGCCCTGCGATCCGGACTTTGAGAAGCCCTGGTTTTACAGCGTGTCATGACACCCCTACTATAAAATCCATAATATCAACATAATTATTACCTTTATCAATCTGAAAACAAATCGTACCATCTCCTCTTCGACATTATGTATGGCACAAAATTCATGGCTGGAGATAAAAAAAACATAGGCGCGGAACAAACTAGGGATGTCCCCACCCCGAAATTCGTTGTTGTCGGGGTTGTTGTTGATTGAATAATAATGCACTGATTGACTTCATTGGTCAGGTATTATGGACTGTCTAAGAGCGAGAGCGAGAGGGAGAGAGAGAAAACAAAACAAGAAACATTGACAAGATTACACATGAAGGCTGGTTATTGGTTAAAATTCTAATCCCGACAACCGTCATCTCACATGTTGTTGTTGTTGTTGTTGTTGTTGTTTTTTTTTTTGGGGGGGGGGGAGAGGGTTAACTAAAAATATTTCTTACTTGTTCTAATAATAATACAAATAATTACATTTATGGGGGGCTTTATACAGGTGTTTCTAAGCGCACATGTGGTGCTTTCTAAATTATTATTTAACATGTTCAATAGTTTAAAAGCACTACAATAAAATAAAATAAATTTTTAATACAAAAAAAATGCAGTTGAATGGACTTTACTACTTGTTTGCGCCTCCAGTATACTATAACTGATTAAAAAGGTGGCTTTTGAGAATGGTTTTGAATGATTCAATGGATAGGGCATTTTGAATATGGGGTGGGAGTTTGTTCCAGAGGGCGGGGGCGATTGATGAAAAAGCACGGTCACCATAACGTCTTTTTGTTCGTGGGTCGTGAATTAGTTGCATGGAGGAAGATGAACGGAGGGATCTGGCAGAAGAGGAGGATCGAAGGGAGACTAGGTCAAAAAGATATTTAGGGGCAATGTTATGTGTTATTTTGTATGAAAGAAGTAGGATTTTGAAAGTAATACGACAATGGACCGGTAGCCAATGAAGTGAGCGAAGAACATGGTCTATTTCCTACTTAATGTGATCAATCTAGCTGCTGAATTTTGGATGCACTGGAGAGGAGATTTATGAGAAATTGGGAGGCCGGCGAGGAGGGGGTTGCAATAGTCCAGATGGAAGGAGACGAAGGCGTGAACAAGTTTTTCAGTGGAGGCTTTGTCAAGCAGTAGCCTGATCGTTCCAATTTTGGAGATGCCCCAAGATACCCCTACATGTTCTTTCAGTAATGTTATTCATGGTGAATTGAACAGAGCACTGTAAACGAATTGACTGTCATGGGACGTTTCTTTAATGTAAAGAGCACCTAATTGAATCAAATAATAATGTCAGAGATTTTGTCGTACTTATTCCCCCGTCCCCCCCCCCCCACCCACCCGCCCCGCCCCGCCCCGCCCCGCCTCGGTCCCCTCGGGATGCTGGATCCACCTCGGATAAAAGGTTGGCAAGCATTCAAAGGGGTTGGGGTGGGGCGTCGTATGCGTCATCAAAGCGACTGGACAGAGAAATAAAACAAATGACACATCGACATCAAGACGTTTCACAACCGATCGACGATCGACAACTTATTAATGGCCATTGGGAGATACATTTATTTTGGTTTGGTTTATTTAGTCGGTCTGCTGCCCGCGTATCCTCGGCGTGACCGTGTTAGTAAATAACCTGTACCAATAAAGTTTCAATAATTCACCTTTCGTTTCTGTTTGCTGAACTTCTCAGCACTATATATGTATATCAATATACATCACACACGTGTTGATCCTACTCAAACATTGATGAGGTGTGTTCAGTTTAAACAAACCACATGCTTAAATCGTGATTTTGTATATTGATACTGAACGTTATCCGCTTTGAGCATGCACACTTTTGTCAAGATTGTGAACGCATTTATGATGTCATCGTCTAGCTAGGCGGGAAGCAAACACATTGCGCGGTAAGGTGGGGTCCAGCATGCAGCTATAACCAAACAGTGGAACGAGAAGTACACAACTCAATATATGTTATATTCCGATAATAATTGTTGAAGAAACTGCGGCCTTTTAACCAGATCTATCTGGGCGTGGAACAGGTTATAGTTAAATAGTTGCAGACAAAGAACTGGAAAGATGAGATGAAGAACCTGAGGTAAATATTTTATACATAAATGTACCACTGCCTTGTGTTATTGAGGTATAGGCTTATACGAACCCACATTATGTATGTTCTGTGCTATATCATACATCTAAGGCCCACCGCACACGTATAATACATGACCCGACTACGAGCCGATGTTTGATGACTTTGTTAAAGCATTTTATATGAACATTCGAACATGTAAAATCTAGTCATTTGGTTAAGAAAACCTAAATACCAAGGGATTTCATGCTTCCTTGGAAGAGGAAACACCAAATCGGCTCATAATCGTATTCGATGTCAGACCAGTTGTGCGATTGTCTACGAACTGATACCGATTCGGCTTTTATTCTGAATAGAAGAGTTCAGTGCACTATATTTTCTGGTTGTTAGTATTCTTAGAATTATTTAGAACCTGAGGCAGGAAGAGGGGCCATTTCTTCGAACATCGGATCGCATGAGGACGATCGTGTAGTGTGCGGTGGGCTTACGATTCAGTTTGATTTAAAACTTATTATAGTCCTGTTCCATTACAAAATAAAGATGAAACTATATAGGCCTATCTATGTAAATGACAAACAATGAATGATGTGTATGATCATCGAGTAGCCTTATAGGGAACAGCTATCTATGCAACAACATGTACAAGACGATTAAACGCCCTTAGGCATAACAAAAGGTTCAGAATTGTACATTTTCTAAATTCTTTAATTAAACAAAAATACGATTTGTTATCAAGAGCTTCACAAAAACAGTGAAATCATTGGTTCTGCAAGCCTTAACCGAAGAAATATATTTTTAATTTATTTTCTTATTTGGCACCCCTACAAATTGTCAAACGTTTATACTGCTTCGATTTATTACAATAGTAACAGTGACTATGAATAGCATCACAACTTATATCATATACATGATAATGAATATCCTCGAAATATATTGCATGCAATGTAATGCTACAGGCATCCGCATCATTAAAGAAACGTTTGGAATCGATTAGAAAAGATTGATCATCTAGCATATAAGTATTGGCGTGTACTGCAAGGTTCTGGAATCATCAAAATGTTAATAAATTTGGCCCAGTCTTGGTAAAGTTACAAGCACTGTACACAGAAAGATGTATATGGGACTACCCTTTATCTATCCAGTCCCGATAGATATAATAATTTACCAATTACATTAATTAGTAGGCATTTTCCCGGCAAAATTCGTATCATCACGTATTAGTAAAAACATATTCTTTCACAATATGATTGCTAATAAGAGCTTCCATTTCATTTGTTGAGAGAGAGGGGCGTTTCCAAAACTGATATTTACCTTTAAGTGTGTCTACTTCCCAATATGTCTACTCTCAAATGGTATACACCCATTATACCAATTTATTATTAGCCTAAACGGTCATTAGAAAAAATGATAAGTAGACGAAATGATTATGAGACCATAGTAGACGGACTGGGTGTAGACCAAACAGCAACTTGCCAATATTTGTATACCAAACAGCCGTGCAGGCGGGCTGGGCAGAATGAAATGAAATCATATTTGACATTCTAATATTATGAGCTCACTTCTATTTATAGACAGGACGATGTTAGGATATTAAGATCGCGGAAAACACGATTTTGCTCATTCTGAGCAGAATATAAATTATATTTATATGATGTTGTGAACTCTGCATTTCCTTTAAAACTCACACAAAAGCTTACACAAATCACGTGTTCAAGGATATAAACCTTCATTAATGAAATGTATAAAGCTCTGATAGCTTTATTCTATCGGTACAATTAAAAATATCTAAATACTTGTTAAATTGAGTTTGAATAAGTTAGAAGCAAAATAACATTGGTGTTGAAATGGGACAAAGTTCCACTCTAATTATAATCAATTAAGCATTATTCAGGGGCGTTCTTTTGTCATTATAGGCCAAATCCATGGCACTACTACAACGACTATCTCTGAATGTGGATAAATGAAAAGGCATCATTTTTTCAGATGTGATATCTACAATATCAAATAAATGCATGAAACCTCAAACTTCAGATAAAAGCAAGTTGTATAAAATACCTCCTGTATCATTATGTCATTCCCTTGAACAATATACATGATTTACATCGACTAAAAAAAAATGACTTTCCCCTTTAAGAACAATAACGGTTGCCAATTTCATGAAGTTTATATCTATATAATAATCTTTCTCCCCAAATTATCAACGGAAGGATTATAACATTAGAAATATAAAAAAATTAAGAAAGTTCATATGACAACTCTTTATAAAAAAAACCTTTGAATTCATGAAATATCAACTAAATTTCTTATAAACATTTCATTGAGCTTTTGTACTTCTCGATCAAGCATAATTATATTAAAGATTGTATCCCGTTTGCTACCCACGAATAAAGCTGAGGAGGGGCGTTAGGTTTACTTGTGTTCATTTGTAGGGTAGTTAAACTAGTTGTGGTTGAATGTTGACAGTATGTTAGAGTGCCAGCTCAACATACCTCAGCTAGGGCGTACGTACGGGGGGGGGGGTCACCTTTTTTTGGTCACCCTTGGTCATTACACACAAAATTGCGTACGCGCCTGTACCTCGGTCACAAACAGACTCCAGACTGACTCAACACCAATTGATGATTCGCTGTTGGGGTAATGTAATGTTTGTTTGGTCTGTAGCAGGGGTGGCCGGTAATTACCTGGGCGGGGGAATATTTGCCTCGCTAATTTTGACAAATAGCGCGAGATACCGGGAAATACTGGGAAATAATATTACAAAAAAGAAATATTTTTAACAATATAAACCCTTATATTATTGAGCAAGTATCATTTTTAAACACAAAATGCAATGAAATATCGACCTACTGCTAGGTATAGGGGGTCGTACAAATGCTTGAAATGGGCAGTAGGAAATACAGTTTTATTTTTTCTAATCATTTCCAATTCGACTTTCATCAAATACTCTGTATGATAAATGTAGGACCAGATTGGAATTCTTAAAGTACACAATATAGATTGTACACACCCTAATAATATTCACGTGCTATATATTTAAACTTTTTAAATATTTGAATATTAAAACCGGGCGGGAAATGCACGTATTTTCCATAAAATTGCCAACCCTGGGGGTGTTTCACAAAAAAATAAGATCGACTTTAGCTTGGACTTAACTTTGACAGGCCATTCATGCCACTAGTTCCTCTAAACAATTCCTGGCATTTGTTCCTCAAGGAACGTATTAATCGTGGTCACAAATCTGCAGAATTTACATTTCTTGATAGTTTATTATTGAAGGAAAAAATAGTATCTAAAGTTCATAATTGAGAGACCAATAGTGAGAGCAACCAGTGGCATGAATGGCCTGTCATAGTTAAGTCCAACTTAAAGGGATCGGGTAACTTTGTCCAAAATTCTAAAACAAAATCCTGAATTTAGCTCATGCTGCAATCACAATTATAAACCTTTAGGTCAGTCAGGAAACCCCATGACTTTTACAAGCCGATCGCCTGTCTGATTATCAAGATATTTATGATTGGAAATCGAAATTTAAATATTCGTTTTCCTAACGGTTTTCATAACACTACAGTCTATTAGGAGCAAACGAGTATGGTATCACTCATAGATTTTTTATTTTTTTGAGGCACATCATGATCATTATTTTTGAAGCGAGATTTGTTAGGGCTTCAATATTACACCATTTCACAGACACTGAACATGCAGGGCCCTGCATCTCAGATTTAACATTGTTAAACGATGCCTTTAAAGTCGATCTAGTCTTTGTGAAACACCCCCTGGTCTGTTGCCGGACTTGGATCTTCTCAGGATGACTAAAGCACAAAGAATGTATCACTGTTCTATTCCATTGCAGCTATAATATCACAACATGTATACATAGTCGTTATCGTAGTCACTGTAATGATATACGATTAAATCGTCTGTCATCCAGCATTTATATCGCTACGACAAAGAGAAACGGAAACGTTTGTGTATTAATAGATAACGGGTTCGATTAATCAACGAGATAAAGGCTCAAAGGTCGTACATTCCTTATCAATACAGTCATAATATGTGTCCTCACGTCTCTCACTGTCATGATATTAATTGCATTGTCTGAATCTCAAATGAGATGTCGTGATGTCATAGGTCAGTGGAAAAACGTGGGTGCAGCCTGACAGGATTGGGGTACTTGCATCATGGTGTAACTGGATGGATGAAATGCGAATTAATGGCGCGTTTTCGCACGGCGACGCAAGTGCTGACTATGGGGTATTTAAATGAGCTCGCCTCCCCGTAATAGCTCGGCTCCCGACGCTTGTGCTGAATACCGTCGTAGGTTTGGACGCTACGCTGAAATTTTCGCTCTGAGTGCGACCCCCGCTAAGATTAGCGTTGTAGAAAACCGCGTCGCCGGTTGCGAAAACTCTCTAATGCACCGAGGGGAGGGGCCGGTGGGGGTGTTAAAAAAAAAAAAAGCAGTTTGAGGCCCCTTTTAACAGAGACCGCATGTAGCCGCGGGGACACCGGCAGACACCCATATTTGGATAAACTAGGTTCCATCATAGGCCTAACTAATGCATTTGGCTGCCTGGCTTGTTTGTTTTATTACATCATAAATATTATTTTATTTATCTCTTGTTATTATTTTTATTATTTTAAAATTATTGAGCATCATTTCATCACATTAATTGGCTTACCCTTTTTTTCTCACTGTGATTGATAAAAAATAATTATTATTTACTTATTTACAGATGTCGAAGTTGCCTAACGTCAGCCCACTAATATGACTCTCATAAACGGCCCGGGTTACCGACGAGAATCTACAGCATTGGATAGTGAGTTAGAAACACTTACATGCACAGACATGACGAGCTCTAATCAACAAGAAACCATCACCAGAGATGATTACGATGCCGACATCGAAGACGACGACGACACCGTCTCGTATATCCAACCAACGATCGCCAGTAGCATCTCTCTCGCTCGGACATACTTTCTTTGCATCGCGCTGGGATTCCTCGGAGCGCATTACTACTATCTGGGCATGCGCACTCAAGGTTTACTATACACATCTACCTTAGGCTTCTTCGGGATTGGTTGGATTGTAGACTGGTTCCGGTTACCATCTCTTGTTGAGGCTGCTCGTAAGATACGTCGCGAGGAGGCCGAGAATGGGTACGCACTCTATGCTGTGCCGTATGGTGAACTAGAAGAGAGGTCGATCGTGAATGCATACCTTTACTCCATTCCACCATGGGGACTTTTTGGTAAGATTTTATCAAGAAAATGATGTCTCATTCTTCTTATCCGTTGTCTTTCTCTTTCTCCTCCTCCTTCGTCTTCATCATCATCATCATATAAGATTTACACAAGAAAAGGATGTCTTATTCTTCGTATCCGTTCTTCTTCTCCTTTCTCTTTCTCCTCCTCCTCCTTCGTCATCATCACGATCATCATCATCATCACCATCATTATCATCATCAGCATCATCATCATCATCATCACCATCATCATCATATCATCATCATCATCATATCATCATCATCATCATATCATCATCATCATCATATCATCATCATCATCATCATATCATCATCATCATCATCATCATCATCATCACCATCATCATCATCATCATATCAGCATCATCATCATCATCATCATCATCATTATCATCATCATCATATCATCATCATCATCATATCATCATCATCATCATCATATCATCATCATCATCATATCATCATCATCATCATATCATCATCATCATCATATCATCATCATCATCATATCATCATCATCATCATATCATCATCATCATCATATCATCATCATCATCATATCATCATCATCATCATATCATTATCATCATCATCATCATCATCATCATATCATCATCATCATCATATCATCATCATCATCATATCATCATCATCATCATATCATCATCATCATCATCATCATCATATCATATCATCATCATCATCATATCATCATCATCATCATATCATTATCATCATCATATCATCATCATCATCATATCATTATCATCATCATCATCATCATCATCATCATATCATCATCATCATCATATCATCATCATCATCATATCATCATCATCATCATCATATCATCATCATCATCATATCATCATCATCATCATCATATCATCATCATCATCATATCATCATCATCATCATATCATCATCATCATCATATCATCATCATCATCATATCATCATCATCATCATATCATCATCATCATCATATCATCATCATCATCATATCATCATCATCATCATATCATCATCATCATCATATCATCATCATCATCATATCATTATCATCATCATCATCATCATCATCATATCATCATCATCATCATATCATCATCATCATCATATCATTATCATCATCAGCATCATCATCATCATCATCATCATCATCATATCATCATCATCATCATATCATCATCATCATCATATCATTATCATCATCATATCATTATCATCATCATATCATTATCATCATCATATCATTATCATCATCATCATCATCATCATATCATCATCATCATCATATCATCATCATCATCATATCATCATCATCATCATATCATCATCATCATCATATCATCATCATCATCATATCATTATCATCATCATCATCATCATCATATCATCATCATCATCATATCATCATCATCATCATATCATTATCATCATCAGCATCATCATCATCACCATCATCATCATCATCATATCAGCATCATCATCATCATCATCATCATCATCATCACCATCATCATCATCATCATATCAGCATCATCATCATCATCATCATCATCATTATCATCATCATATCATCATATCATCATCATCACCATCATCATCATCATCATATCAGCATCATCATCATCATCATCATCATATCATCATCATCATCATATCATCATCATCATCATATCATCATCATCATCATATCATCATCATCATCATATCATTATCATCATCATATCATTATCATCATCATATCATTATCATCATCATATCATTATCATCATCAGCATCATCATCATCATATCATCATCATCATCATATCATCATCATCATCATATCATTATCATCATCATATCATTATCATCATCATATCATTATCATCATCAGCATCATCATCATCATATCATCATCATCATCAGCATCATCATCATCATCATATCATCATCATCATCATATCATCATCATCATCATATCATCATCATCATCATATCATTATCATCATCATATCATTATCATCATCATATCATTATCATCATCAGCATCATCATCATCATATCATCATCATCATCATATCATCATCATCATCATATCATCATCATCATCATATCATTATCATCATCATATCATTATCATCATCAGCATCATCATCATCATCATCACCATCATCATCATATCATTATCATTATCATCATCATATCATTATCATCATCAGCATCATCATCATCATCATCACCATCATCATCATCATCATATCATTATCATCATCATATCATCATCATCATCATATCATCATCATCATCATATCATCATCATCATCATATCATCATCATCATCATATCATCATCATCATCATATCATTATCATCATCAGCATCATCATCATCATCATCATCATCATCATCATATCATTATCATCATCATTATCATCATCATCATCATCATATCATTATCATCATCAGCGTCGTCGTCATCTGTGTTAACAGCTTCGTCACCGTCATCTTCTTCTTCGTTCCTATTGTCTTCCTCATCATCCTTTTCCTCTGCTGTCCACCTTCCTCTTCTGCTGCATCGTTGCCTCATGCATTGCCAATGGCATTGTATCATCAGTTTACAATTTGCCTTTTCTTTGTGCAGGGAATCTTTAATAAAGCAATATGAATTCAAAAATCCATTATTTAACAGTTACAGAAGCAAAACTTGGCAATTTTGGCCTGGATCAGTAATATTCTTCGGTAATGCTGTTTGATATGAAGTGCAGCGAATTATGTTTACATTTTAATTTTCTTCTCTTCCGACAGGGATCCACTACATGTACCTCGGAACTTTCCGGAAAAACGATGTCTTTCACCTGATATACACAGCAACACTCGGTTTCATGGGCTTCGGTTGGCTCTTTGACCTTTTCCGTATTCCGATACTTGTACGAAGAGCGAACGAAGATATCCGAGCCCTTCGTTCGGGAAAACCCGTCTCATCGAGTACAGCGTGCAATCTCCACCTTGATACTGCTTATTCACTAGCCTTTCCGCTAGGCTTTTTTGGACTTCATCATTTCTACATGAGGCGTTATTTCTATGGATTTGTTTACCTGTTTACCTTAGGATTGGCTGGTGTAGGAGTCTTGGTCGATCTCATTAGACTACCGTATATCTTCAAGCGAAATAAAGCAGAACTTAAAGACCTGAGATTCTCTTTATATCACTTGGACGACACTTACATGCTATGGTTTCCTTTCGGTCTGTTCGGTCTTCATCACTTCTATTTACGGAACTGGAAGATGGGCGTGGCTTATCTCTTCACGTGTGGATTCCTTGGTGTTGGTTGGCTAATTGACGCGTTTCGAATGCGCTCATTGGTTGAAGAAAGCAATAAGAAGTCAGACACTGATCTTCTCTGGAGTCATCACTTTACGAAAGAAAGAAAAAGCAAAGGAAACATGAACATCTTTGTGGACAATAAATTACATGGCTATCCAAGCATGGACGAGGATTGCAACATTCAAGTGTACGCTTTCCCTCTGCGGCCGAGCGGGAAGCCATCTTGGTTGCTAGGGTGGGCGTGGTCACCTCCATCATCAACGAATCAAAACGGCTATGTTATTTCGGAGGAAATGCATAGCCAAACTGAAAGAAACAAAACACCATTAGTGGATGATTCTTTAGAGGGCGCTGTAGGGTGGACAATAGACTCTCACGAGAACTATGAAGTTACTATCGCGTAAAGATTCAGGACAATTAGGCCTACATCCTTCGAGCAACATTCATTTGCTGACATTTTTATTCATGGGTTATCATGGGGAAATTTTAGATTTAGTTTTTCCCCGGTAACGGTTTAAAAACCGGCAAGGCTTTATACGTAGTGTGCGCACCTAGCTCAGTGCCTCCAATCATTTTTAAAGAACCTACTCTACGGAAATTTATCATCAATATCTCAAGGGGAAAATAATAAAAAACTTTCCGAGTCTCTCTCAATAAGGACTTTTAGATTCTGCACGACGAGAACGTGGACTGCCCTTTTAAGGCAATGTGACGTCACTGCCAGTGCCAATAAAAGGACGTCACATTGCCTTAAAAGGGCAGTCCACGTTCTCGTCGTGCAGAATCTAAAAGTCCCTAATGTTATCGATGGGACACCGAGTTTCGCTGCTACTTCTGACGTGCGTACACACAACTGTTGTGTGTACGCCATGACGGGTGTGTGCGAACCGAGACTTAATGCGCATGGACAATAACCAGAGTATGTGTTTACATTACCATGACCTTTGCGGTGGACAATGTAATTTTTGTTAAACAATTATTATTAGAGACTAAGAAATGTAAAACCACATCTAGTTTTGCCAGCTTTTTTATCTGACGACAAATGATCGGCTCTTTTTATCAGCTTGATAACATACTTTACATTGCACTTCAAATGGGCTTTTTGTCTCATTATCTATACCATAAATAACTTCACAATAATTGTTCCTTGAAAGTTTACTTAAATAAAGCAACTCATTGTCGATGTTATTTGAAATAGCCTACCAAATAAACTAAAATTGTATTCACTCAAGCAAGTATGAAATAGCGTAACAAGTAGTATAACATTAGACAACGGTTTTGCGAAAGATGTAGGAAAATGCAACATTTTGAAAGCAGACGTCATCAAATGAACATATGAATCAGAAATTGGTATTCCTAATGTGGAAAACAGTCATTTTCAAAATGAACTAATATATGACCTGCATAAATATCGAGTTTACTCGGGAATGAAATCTGCATGGGATGGTTAGCATGAGATAGTAGCAATAACTAAAATCATCCGATATAAAGATTTCACCCAGATGTAATGTTGCTATGACATTTCAGCCGAATTTTACATGAAGAAGAGTTACTTTACATGCAGAAGAGTTATTTTGCTTGTAGAAGAGTAGATTTACATCAGCTCAAACTCATATTATTACTTTGTGAATGTGAAATTCTCAAACATATCCTCAAGTTTCAAATTTTAGAAACATTCTTATATACATAAGATTTTGTTCACAATTTCAAAGCTCATTGCCAACAATGCTAAAATTGACATGTCAAGCTGTGTTATCTAGTTTTGTTGTCATTAATTCATAAAAGCATTATACGAAAATTAAGGTATACTATAGACATGAAGGTTTTTTGCAAATATATACATATATACAATTACCATCTGAAATATAGTGTGCCAAGTACTGAATATATTATAGCCTTGATGTAAATAAACAAGTAGTTTGCAGCTTTTTACGAATTATTTGTTATGCTTGTAATGCTTTTACTTTCTATTTGTTTATTTTTATTTCCGTTTCAGTAACATAAAAAGTAAGAAAAAGTATTTTTGGTTTTTAATACAATTTTCAGCAGAGAAACAAAGTTAAAGGGGCACAAAATTGTAGTCTTGATAGAGTATTAGCCTTTTTATACACTCAGGTGGTCACTAATCAAAAGGAAATTTGATTGTATAAATGAAAATAAAATTGAGATACAGACACAAATACAGCTCAAACTACAGCCCTTCCCCCACGGAGTCCTTGATATTGAACATTTTACATGAGATCTACAAACTGTAAATATATATACAAATATATATAATTAAAATATATAACCAATTCAAGTTGGTATTAACATCATTATAAAACTGTCAATAAATCATAAGAAACAAAATGGAACACTGTCTTGAACATAATTTAAAACCCGTTTCTAGTTGTACCTATAGGGCCTACATGTTCAGCAAGGAATATAAAACCATAACACCTCAACTGTATGGGAGGAGAAAGGAGGAGAGTGATAGAGAGAGATAGAGGGGGGGGGGTGGTTAGAGAGGGAGAGATTGAAGAGAGAGAGAGAGAGATAGAGAGAGAGAGAGAGAGAGAGAGAGAGAGGGGGGTTGGTTAGAGAGGAAGAGATTGAAAAAGGGGGAGGGCAATAAGAAGGTGAAAATCCCTTGTTGACAGTTTTGAGATTTGTTTTTGTCTAATAAAAAATAATTTGTATAGACTGTCATATACCTTTAGACTGACGAAAATGTATCCATATTTTGGGCTCATAAGTGAGCGACTGCCTTTTTTTGTGTGTGCAAGATATAGGCCCGAATTCACAAAGGAGGTTTGTCGACAAACCTTGGTTTTCGTGCGTCATATGACGCATTTTGACGCGTCTTTGCAAACCAGGTTTGTAAAAAACGCGTCATATGACGTACATAAACCTCGGTATGTCGACAAACCTCCTTTGTGAATTCGGGTCATAGAGTCTAGAAAAAAGAATTGTTACATGTAAATGGGGCCTGTGCAAGAGCAATAACCTGAATAGATAAGTAAATAGATAATTTAACAAATAAAGAAAGATATAAAGAAAAAAAGGTATTAATACAAAAAGTAATAAATAAGAAATAAATATATAATTAAATATATAAAACAGGCCTACAGGCCCTCCTGCAATAGGGGCTGTTGAGTAATAGATCAATTTAGAAGAAAGATGATTTAGAAGAAACTATGATTTATAATTAATATGACAGTTGAATGATATTATATATATTTACTAAATGTGTTGTTGAACTCAAGCAATTCTTTGTATAGACCCATCCAGTCAGTAGCGTACGCAGGATTTTTTTCAAGGGGGGTGGGGGGGGGGGGTTAACATTTTTAAATCGTGCCGAAATTTTCGCAACGACTCAACCAGCCGTTGAATAAGTGGGGGGGGGGGGTTGCAAAATTTGAAAATTGGCCGGATCGACATTCGTTCCATTGGGTGGGGGGGGGGGGGCAGGCGCGGATCCAGGATTTTCCAATAGGGGGGGGGGGGGGGGGCCGGAAATTCGAAATTCGCGCAGACCGTTATTTAAACTTACCAGTACTGACAAGGTCATATTAGAAGCACTGTACTTTAATAGTGTACTGGTACCTACAAGCGGGCACAATTATTTTGGAAAGGGAACATGCTCACGTCACATCTCTTGTCCGATATCAACATTCCCCGTTTTCAAGTTATGCTCGCGCGCAATTTTTTTGACATTTCCATCAGTGGGGGCTGAAGCCTCTTGCCCCAATATCTATTTCCTGGTTTAATAATTTGGCGAGTGAGCGGAAATTTGAGCTTATGTATGTTGTGAAAAGTGTTAATTGTCACCAAAATATACGAGATAAGATATAACAAATGCATATTGGTAATTTTTAAATTTTCGGGGAAAGAGAGGCTGCAACCCAATCCCGCATTAACTGCAGGTGTTTTGAAATCAAATCAGACTCCCCAAAAAAGTATTAACCAAAACGCACGAATCCTGTTTCAAAAATCCAAAAAATTTCAGCTTCAGAGGGGGGCACATCACCCCTCAGACTCCCTCTAAAAGTATTAACCGAATCGCACGAATCCAGGTAAAAAAAAAAATCAGCTTCAGAGCTAGAGAGGAACCCCCCCCCCCCCCACACACACACACAGACACCCCCTGTGCACGCAAGCGTGAAATTAACGCTGGCGCTAATGCGTAAGCAGGGGAGGCGGAGCTATTTCCAAAGTGGAAAGCACCAACAAAAAAGGGCACCTACAAAGCGAAATCTCAAAGCGAAAATATACATTTTTTTAGACATTGGTATATACCCTTTCATTGTGATGCCATTATCAGGGACGATTTCAATATTTGTTTTTCTTTATATATCATACAAGATATTGCTTAAGCATCACACTTTCGGCTGGGTGTGATTGTCTGAATATTCATTTGCGAGCGAGCAAAGCGAGCGAGAAAAAATGTAAGATCTGTGAGGTCGCAGAGTGAAAAATTACATCTTATAAAGAGGAAAAAACAAATCATGATGGGGTTATAAGCATCACGGAAGACTGAAAAAACATTTGTTTTAAAGTGACATATTGTATCATCTATAAATGCGAGCGAGCGAGCGACCTTTTTAGGGGAAATTACTCTTAGTCGCTTTAAATTAGGTGCAAGACTAATGATGAGCAGGTTAGGGGCACGTGCCCCCCCCCCCCCCGTGCCTACGTGCGAAAGGGATAAAGACACTTATTAGAAAAGAAAAGGAGCATGTGTCAAGGTACAAAGAGTAATTATCAAAGGTTCAAACGGGGCACTTCTTACACCTGAAAGGAGGCACTCACCAGAAATGAGATAGGGCACTTATGAGTATGGGAAATGGGCATTTGTTGACGGAAAAGGGGCATCCATCAGAAATTGATTTATCAGAGGTGAAAAGGGGCATTTATGAAAAGGGGATAGGTCCCTTATTAGAAAGGAAAAGGGGCACGATTCAAAATAAAAGGGCAGTTAGCAAAGGTGAAAATGGGCACCCATCATAGATGAAAAGAGTACTTATCAGGAGGGGAAGGGGTACTTTTCAAAGTAAAACGAGCATCTCTCATATTTGAATAGGGGCAATTATCGGAGGTGAAGAGCGCACTGAAGTAAAAAGAATTAACTTCTCATATATGAAAATGGTCATTTACCAGAGATGAAAAGGGACACTTTTTATTTATGAAGGGACTCATTTTTCTAAATAGCCCTTATCAGATAGGAAAGGGGGCACATGTGTTGATGAAATGTGCGCTTATCCGAGTTAAAAAGGGGAAGGGGCACTTCTTTACAAAGTAAAAGTGGCCCTTTGGGGGGGGGGGGGTACCTAAAGAGTGGGGCGAACTTTGCCCCCTACTCCTGCCACCCGACCCATCATCTGAAAATCCCAAATGATGTTGTAGGGGCCGGGCGCGGCTTTATCATGAGTGCTTTTATGTGAACTTCTTTTTTATAAATATATTGTGCTGGATTCCGACCCAGATTGCACACTCTAAAATGATAGTATGATCATCCCAATACGCTTGTAGTTCACGTATGCACCCCTTCCTGTTAATTCGTCGTTACCGTCACTGCCATTTACGTATGGCCGGCCGGTGTGGTAGGCGATTTGTTCCGGGTTCCGCGGAACAGATCGGCGCGCCGATTTGTTCCTCGGAACGAATCTACTGGATCGACTCGTTCGCAGATACGTTCGAAAGCCGCCGTTCTTATCCGACATTGGCCGAACGTTTCTGCTTATATAATCGCGTATATTTTTATTACTTGTGTCGAATAAACATGGTAAAAATAAATTTTAGCTTTATCTTGATACTTTTGTATTTATTGTTGCAATGAAAACCAATATTATTTATTTTTTGTCGGCTAGTACCAAGGGTTGAAAATTCAACAAAATATGTCGGGTTTTTCTTTTATTTCTTTTTTTTTTATTCTGCCGGACACGTCTTTTACTTGAGGAATTTTCTTTCTCTTCATTTCTTTTTTTTTAATTTTTATTGGTCCTTCTTAATTATCAGCTCGACCACTCATTTCTTTTTGTGTTGACCCCGCCCCCCCCACCCCACCCCACCCCGCATCTCTTTCATTTAAACTAGAGTCTACATGTACATCATGCATGCAGCCCACATGCATAATTAGATTCTGTGATGATCGAAGCCCGGTAATAGGTGGTTGACGTAACACGATATCATATAAAGCAGCATTCAAACCAAATTAGAAGGCCTGATTAGAAAACACCCCGACATCTGCTTTTACAGGCAAACTAAGCCTATGGCAACAACTGCCCTTTTTGCTAGACCACCCAGTCCCCGTCGCTTCGCGACGGCGCTGTTTGTGGTCAATCATTGGCCGCAATTATCAACATATTTGAACAACGGGAATCTGCATTTCTATACAAAGTTCTCAAATTGGCAATCGTTGGCGTAGCTAATTTGGAGAAGTTTGATTGGTTGCAAAGGCCGACCAGAATAGTTCATTTTGCTGTAGGGGTGTACCATGGCGTGTATTCAATAATACGTGAGCACGCACGCTCTCCGATGAGATTCGGAACGGATCGCCTGGCCGGAACCGATCGCCTGTGACTAGCGGAACGAATCTACGAATCCGGAACAAATCGGCGGGTACATATCCAGGCGATCGGTTCCGGAGGAACCGATCGCCTGCACGGAACAAATCGCCTATGACACCGGCGTATTTTTTATTTACACGCTAGCGAGGGGAATTTCTCGATTAATTCCAATGAAACCGCTTAAAATTCCAATGAAACCGCTCGCGAAGAGTCTAGCCTAGATCGGAGAGCTCGCTAGTGCTATACGCTAGTGTGAATTTACATCCAGGAGAAAGTTTGCTTAACTTTTTCTTGAAACACTTGAACGGTTATGGAAACTGTTTGTGTTTCTAATCTCCAAATATTAATATTATTCTTCATCAAATATAAAACATTGATTTCTACTGTGATATGTAAAGGCACGAACTTACGTTAATACATACCCAACCAAGAAGGTGCACCATGGTAATACATTTTAACAAACACATCAACATGTTACCTAGACAACTCATCCCCATAGCCATAACCATAGCCAAAACCATAATGATACATGTAAAATATAGATTGAAGCAATTCTCGTCAGTTGGCTGTATCCTGAGTGTGATTTATATAATGGATTTTGAGTAACATTTGCATCTACCTGTAGTTGAAGAATAGATACAGTGTATAACATCAATTAAGTTGGAGTTCAATTGGAAGGAAGTAACGAGGAATATTTAAGCAAGGGAGACTGGGAGATGAGGAATGCAGGAAGTTAGAAATTGAGAGATTACTCGCGTGATAGCCTTGCATTAATGAATCCTTTATATAATGTTGTCTTGAGAGAAAGTAGACGATTTTTTTTAATATTGGAGATTAGTGCAAGTATTAGATATATTGGAAATAGAATTAATGAGAAAGTTATTTTTTATCAAGATCAATACATGGGGGGGGGGCACCATCAAAATAGGGCACTTTCTGGAATAAGATGCACCTACAAAGGGAAACATCAAAATGTAAATCTACCATATTAAGACATTGATAGACGTACGCGTAACGCATGTCACACACAGAAAAATGAGAAGAAAAGAAAGAATAATGTTTTTAAAAAAGAAGATAGAGGAAAAGGAGAGAGACAGAGAGAGGGAAAGAAAGAAAGAAAGAAAGAAAAAAGGAAGAACATGAAACTTTACTTTACACTTAGGCCTACATATTACATTTCCGACTGAGTTGGATCGACATGTGCTTAAGTAGTCTGCGGACAAAAGTACAACAATACGAAAACAGAAGTTATATGAAATTGTCTTTAAGAGAGAAAGAGAGGTTAAATTCTAAAATGAAATGAAAGGGGTTATGTGACTCTCAAGGAGGAAATTACAATTTCTATCGCTCATGACGACTATTTGGAATTTCCTAAATTGTTTTAAAGTTCAAGAACTTCCTGGGGCTCCGCCCCATGCAAGACTCCCGGCAACAGCAAATTATTTACACAATTTCTTGCTGTCTGCTGCCTCGAGATCACTGGAGCGAAGAAAGGTAACATATAGCAAGAATCCCTATTCAGTGAAGGATTTATCCCTTTTATTATTAAAGACTCCCGACAAAGGTTCTCCCCCTGCAAAATTGGAGAGAGTTTTATGTAGTTTAAGCTTCTAACAACCACGCCCGTGGACCTTTTATTATTTACACAAAGGTAAAAGTGTATAGCAAGAATCCCTATTCAGTGAAGGATTCATCTTTTTTATGCAGATGCTTCTTCTACCATTCTTGACCAAAAGTGCGTTTCAAACTCAATGATATGGGCATCATCCCATTGAATGTTGTGTCCAGTGTTACGGGTTTGTTTTGCTACTTGCTGCCTAATCTGAGGGCTCTGTTGTGCTCTTTAAAAAGAGGACACAATAGGGGCAGCGCAATTTAAATATCAAGGAATGTATTAGAATCTATTTCTAAAATGAAATGAAAGGGATAATTGACTTTCAAGAGCAATAAAAACTCTAATCCATCCCTTGAAATTTAAATTGCACTGCCCCCATTCAGTGTGCTATTTTCAAAGAGCACAAAAAGGCTTCAGATTGAAGATTCCATCTCATAAAATTGTCTATAAGAGAGAAAGAGAGCCTTATTTCTGAAATGAAAGGGCTATTTGACTTTCAAGAGCGATAAAAACTCTAATCCATCCCTTGGAATTTAAATTGCACTGCCCCATTCAGTGTGCCATTTTCAAAGAGCACAAAAAGGCTTCAGATTGAAGATTCCATCTCATAAAATTGTCTATAAGAGAGAAAGAGAGTTTATCTCGAGAGAAAAAATGAAATGAAAGGGCTATTTGACAAGAGCCCTTTCATTTCATTTTAGAAATTACCTCTCTTCCTCTCTTATAGACAATTTTCTCTCTTGAAAGTCAATAACCCTTTCATTTCATTTTAGAAATAACCTCTTTTTTTCTCCTAAAGACAATTTCTCTCTTGAAAAGGCTCTGCCAGGCCCCTCAAGCCTTGCCATGTTGTATGGATCCATTAGAAAGCAAAATAAGCCCACTCAATAATTAATATATATTAAAACGCCATAGCGATTCATCCAAATAAGAAATCCACGTAAGAGGCATTTTGAAAGTTTTAAGAAAATTCCTTCAAATTCCAGGATATTGGATGTTATTTTTCAGGAAACTCTATTTAAACGAGTGGAAGCACTGGCGGTTCTGTTTTTTTTTAAACTGTAACAATTCTCCTTGGATCAGATATAGACCAAAAACAAGCCTCATTATCTTCAGTATACAAGTGTCATTTCGGACCTTACAGCTTTCATAGAAATCGCTTCTGGACCGTCAAAGAAAAAGTTTGAGAACCCCTGGTCTACGCATTATACACATCAGGACCAACTTGACAACTTGACAAAAATTTGAGGGGGGTTCGACCCCCCCCCCCCCCCCCCCCCCCCCCCTGCGTACGCGCCTGTATGTGCATCCCTTCCTCCTTATTCCCTTATCCATCGTTACCGTCACTACCATTTTAGTAGGGCCGGCCCCCTCCTTTTAACGACTCCCAAGCCATCAAGAATGACCCCATAATAATCCATTATTTATGGATTACCATTCTACCGTTCTTTGGAGGGGCCGGGCGCGGCCTTTTCAGAAGTGTTTCTACACTAACCTTTTCATGCACTCCGGCTTAACATAAACAAGCATGCTAAGATTTTTTTGAAAAGAAGCATAATTTAGACTCGGTTTCGCATAACCTAAAAATAAGAATACGGCCAGTCACCCCTCCCCCCTCCCCTCAATGCATCCGCCTTTACGCACCCCCCCCCCCCCTTCCCCTTGTCTTTCCCTTATTCGTCGTTACTGTCACTAATTTTTAGTGCCATTTCGTTGTCTTTCTTTCTCCCCGGCTCCTCTCTTCTTTTTCTTTCCTCTTTTTTGAACTCTCTCTCTTTTCTTTACTTTTTTGTTCTCTTTTCTTTTATCTTCTTCTTTTTTCCCCCCATTTTTTCCCCCCTCTTTTTTCCTTCTCAATTTTTTTGCGCCGCCAATAGGGGGGCCGCGGCCGTTTCGGCCCACCCCTGGATCCGCCACTGGGGGGTAAGATCGCCTTTTTTTTAGGTCACCTATTAGCAAAATTCAAAACAAAAAATCTAAATCAAAGGGGGTGGGGGGTTTCCTCCGAAATACACACATTACAAAAAAACAAAGGGAGGGGGGGGGGGTAACCCCCCCCCCCCCCCCCCTTCCATACGCGCCTGCATCCAGTGCATGGATGCATCTATGAACATTATGCGCCCTTTGGGTGGACAGCAGCTCAGCTCTAGTGACGTTATGCGACTAAAAGTTATCCCACGCAAACGCGCCTGCGCACACATTACGACGAGAATCAAAATGGCGACGCCCATAGACACTTCCAAACCGCGTGAGGATGACGGAATGAGCAGTAAAGACGTCGTAAAAGATGAGCAATTAGGTGCTTGTGCAGGAGGTCTGCATAATACAGACACAAAACCACCATGCCTAATAGTACTAGGAATGGCAGGCTCTGGAAAAACGACTTTTGTTCAGGTGAGTCGCAAGTTAAGCTTCACCTCATGCCCCACATAGGCCTACTGCCAATTGTGTTAGTACTCGCTTTGCTCCTCGGCCAATTGTCAAACAAAGTCTTAGGCCGGTGTCACAGCACAGCCAGGCGCGGCGAGAATCCCTTGCCGCGTCAGATCTCCGGATAAAACGATGAAAATACAAACATCATTTAACTCATGACATGAGATGACATGAGTCATGTTATCTATCCTCTGTTACTCTGACTTTGTTATTTTTCTGAAAAAGAAAAGTCGCGCTTGTTCAGAAACCTATCCAAAATTTGACCCGTAACTCCAGCGTGGAGATACCCTCCTAAAACATACCCAAAATGAAGTAAATATTCATTAAATGTCCAAGTAAAGATCATGAGTTAAAAGTTGTTATGTTTAATACCTGTTTTGTGTCAATTTTCTTGTTATTTTTGGAGTATTTTTCGGATAAACGTTGATATTTAGGATACACTTTTTCACAGATTTCACGGCAAACCGCTGCACAATACAAGTGCCTACCGATTGTGGGTTGCGGGCAGGGGCGCGCGCCTGTATGAGTTATTTACCGTAAGTAGACATGAATGCACACCTTTTATAATTATTTATGAATATTCATTGTATCCCATTGCAGCGCCTGAATGCTCACTTATACACCAAGCAGCAGAAACCATACATCATCAACCTAGATCCAGCTGTTCACGAAGTAGGCTATCCTACTAATATTGGTAAGAATTCTACAGAGCTTTAAGGAACACATTTAATAAAGATGACACTAATGTAATTTCAAAAGTATCTGAGACAAAGTGCAAAACAAGGAGGTGATGAAATAGTATGGGAAAGTTAACAACATGGCCAATGATTATAGTGATGACACTGATATATATTTAGATATTCAAAACACTGACTGTAAAGTTAAAATAAGTGATGATGTAGTATGGCATAGGACCCAATTAATTGATGTATTTTGTTACCTTGTTATCTTTACAGTTACATTTATAATTAGTATACCTGTCAAGTGTCCATGTATTGATGAATGAGTTTCCCAAAGTGCTTTGAATGGACTATAACACTATCAAAAGAAACAACAACAATGTTCATTTATAATAATTACAGTCATATATGTCTACAGCGACCGCTCATGGGAAACACAAACATTGGTCTTTGTAGACAGGTTCCTTTAGTACATGTTTCAATGAGAAACCATTTTCAAAGGGAAACAAAAAATGTAGTAGTCACTAAAGCAGGTTTGACTGTATAAACTGATGATGATTATTCTTTTTTCAGATATCCGAGACACGGTGAAGTACAAGGAGGTGATGAAGCAGTATGGCCTAGGACCGAACGGTGGCATCATGACGTCTCTCAATCTCTTTGCTACACGCTTTGACCAGGTGATGGGCTTTGCAGAGAAACGCAGCAAAGAAACAAAGTAAGTCCGGCAAGACATTGATCTACATTTGCCACACTCAACCCAGGTGATGTAAATGGGTACCTAGCCGGAATTGAAATGCTAGAGTGCCGCAATGGCAGCACAGCTAAAGCAGGGGTGATAATCTCCAAGTTTGGAAGCACTCTTCGTGATTCTAATAAGCGCTATATAAAAACTATTACTATTATTATTAACTCGACCTGGGATCCAGAGCAAGGTTAAGATGCTGATTGTGATCATTAATGTTTAGATGGTGGATGTTTTTATGAAAGGGAAACAAATGTTTGCTGCCTCACAGTTTTGCCCATATCTAGTTCGAGACTGGTTTGTAAAACTTTTACCAAAGAGATGGAGGAAGAAAAACAAATTGTCTCCAAATCACTGAACTTGATCGACACTAATTTAATATCTCATTCTACTCTCAGTTACGTGTAAATTTTATTATTTTATCCAACATTTTTCATGTTACATAGTTATGACTATACCTTTTATACTGACTTGCAAATTTATTTCTTGGTATGAAAGAGCTCCATTTCCAGAATATCACGACAGATTTCTTTTTCTTAAATATTTTGGATTCCATGCTGGTATATACTTTTTTCAAAATATCAGCTTCAAATATTAATTCTGTAAAGGGATTGTGCAATTTTAAAGTGGAGATAAAACAATCAGTCAGTATTCTTAACACACCGTGACTTGTTGATCTCCATATGTGTTCTTTGTTTATCATACTTCTCTCAGGGGATTTTGCAATTTTGCAATATTCTCTAATAGAATGTAAAATGGAGCAGTCAATATTCTGAACACACAGTAACTTGATGATATCCACATTGTTTATTCTAGGTACATCATACTAGACACTCCGGGACAGATAGAAGTCTTCACATGGTCAGCATCGGGAGCTATCATCTCAGAAACTTTGGTAAACCTTCCCTCTCCCCCCTCTCTCTCTCCATACCTGCCAACCCTTCCAAATAATCCAGATCATTACCCGTATCAGACATCTGAGCAGTGGTTTAACTTTCGGGAGATACCACATATATTGCCCTCCTCTTTGACTCGGGGCAATATGAGTCTAGTTTGCACAATATATGTGGTATCTCACTCAAGGCCAGTCAATATTTTTACTAGGGCGCTTTAGTAACGAGACGGTACGCACAGGAGACGGTAATGCGAGTGAAAAAAACAAACTGCGCATGCGCGATTCTGAATTATCTCCGTCCCGTCGATTTTCGGAACGGTACTCGGCCAACATAGCGTTCGTTCCCTAAACACGACGTAAGAGAGAGAGCTGACAAATAATTTGTATCTAGATCTAACAATGCAGGGCCCTACTGAAGATAAAAACAGGGAATCTACTAGTGTTTCCAATGTCTGTTCGGTATCTATACCTCAATCTACAATAAATTGATGGTTTGGCCGTTTAGGCATACTTTGGGGGCCCTTTTTCATCGTTATGCATGACGTGCCTGCACGCTGCGCACTACAGCCCACCGCCGGGTCTATTGCCCCGGCGCTCCGGCCAAGCCTCGAGGCCCAAGAGCAGCTAGCACCAAAATGGAGCAGGTGTGCAGTTCAGCGCGGCTTTGCGTCCCCGTCGCCTTTAGCAGACAGCGAAAGCGCTTAAACATCACGACGGTAACAAGAGTGCGAGACCCGTCACAGTTGGTTAAACACTCCGTCTCCTGTGCGTACCGTCTCGTTACTAAAGCGCCCTACTGCTGCAGCATGTGTGAACGCCTGTTACGGTTACAGATTTCTTATTTTCAAAGGCATACCATGCTAGAAATTCTTAATTCATATTTTCAAATGTTGGCAGGTATGCTCTTTCCTTAACTTTACATCTTTTTATCTTTATTTCCTGCCTCTCTTTTTCCCTCACCATCTTCTTTCTGTAAAGTGCAGAATCTCAATAATTGAATCCAGTGACCAGGTTTAGGTCTGTTGACTGGTACAGCACTTTGTAAAAAACAGATATTTGTTTAAATCTTTCTCTCTCCTTTTCTTCCTCTCCTCCTTTCTCTCTCTCCCTCTCTCTTTTTCTCTCTTTAGCATTTGCCGTCTCCATATGTTTCTCTTTATTCACCTATCTCTGTATCTTTCTTTCTTTATCTCTCTCTCTCTCCTGCCTCCTCTGCCTATCTCTTTCTCTCTCTCACTCCTTTATCAACCATTCACTATCTTTCTTCTCTCTTGTTTTGCTTTCTGTATTTCAGTCATTGTTTCTCAAGCCATGAAACCAGAAACTTTGTTTAATCTGTTAACACAAACAAAAGTGGTCTTTTTTTGAAATGGTACTCAAAAGTGTATTACAAATGATAAAAACTGTTGTATTGTCTCCTTCATAATTACCAATGTATTTTTTGTCTACCTTATTTTGTAATATTCATTGTAATGAAATGTGGTGCACATATTCTCAAAACAAATCATAATTAAATATATAACACAATGAATATGATTCATTTTCAGGCCTCCACTTTCCCAACGGTTGTGGTGTATGTAATGGATACAGCCCGGAGTGTGAATCCTGTGACGTTCATGTCTAACATGCTCTATGCTTGCAGGTGGGTCCTCTTTCCAATCATGTTCCAAACTAGTAGAAAACTCTGTTGACAATGTAATGGTGTAACAAATTGTGCTCCTAGGGCTTCTTCAGGTTATGATACTGCCAAGTACAAGTGCATTAGAAAATGCCCCAAAACCTGTTGTGATGTGTGTGTGTGTGTGTGTGTGTAGTTGGGGTTTTACAGACGTGTATCAATCAGATATGATTATTTATGTCTGGGGATTGACCTTTAACGTCACTCAGTTTTGAATCGGGTCGCCAGTTTGGCGAAGATAAAGAGCTGACCATCTCACATCTCTTGTTGTGAAGGCAATAGAAAGGTATTTAAAGACTTATGCGGATAGCTTGCAGTTTATGGATGACCTCCCATAGCATATTTGTATAATGGCCCAGGGGACATCAGGATACATTGCCTGTAATAGAATCACATTGTTCTTCTGTGTGTAACAAAAAGACAAGACAAGATATTTATTTTGTCAACCTTGTTGAACTGAGATTTAAAAGGAAATTCAAGCTCGCTCCTATTAAGAGTAGGCAAATTACAAGCATTCAATTGCATCGTCCAGATCCGTATTATAGATAATAATAAATGATATTAACATTTCTAAAGCACAGTAAATTTGAAGTACAGCACTAAAATTCAAGATTTTGTGTCGTTTATTTTTTTAATCACAGTATCCTGTACAAGTACAAACTTCCCTTCATCGTTGTGATGAATAAGATTGACATCGTTGCACATGACTTTGCAATGGAATGGATGACGGACTTTGAGACGTTTCAAGATGCTTTGAATCAGGAGACGTCGTATGCATCTAATCTCACTAGATCTATGAGTCTGGTTCTCGATGAATTCTATGAGAATCTGAGGGTAAGTACATCTATTTGACCATCTATCTATCTAGCTATCTATCCATTTATTTATCTATACATCCACACATCCATCTTTCTATCTTTCTGTCTGTCTATATATGTATCTAAGTATATATCCATCCATCTATCCATACATCCACACATCCATCTGTCCGTATATCTATCTATCTTTGTCTCTCTCTCTCTATCTCTTTCTCTCTCTCTCTCTCTCTCTCTCTCTATGTATATACATATATATCTATATATCTATCTGTTTGCTTGTCTATCTTTATATCTCTCTATTTATCTATCTATCCATCTGTCTATTTATCTATCTATATGTTTATCTATATATCTATCTATCTACTTATCTATCTATCAGTTAAAATGCTTTGAATAAGGAATCATCAAATGCATCTAATCTAGCTAGGTATATGAGCCTCGTTCTAGATTAATTCTATTAGAATCTGAGGGCAAGTAAATATTCCAGAAAATCAGTAGAAAATCAATAGAAACAAAAATTAAATTCATTTTTTCTTCTTATGTCGAAATTCAGGCTTTTGCTGATTTTTTATCTTTCATTTATTTATTTGGTTGATGTAATACAGAATTTACATGTACAAGGCAATACATAGCAATAAACTTCTGTAGGATTCCATGGTCATTGGATATTCACAATTAAAGCTTTTACTGTTAATGTTACTGACCTAGCTTACGTACTAGTACTTCAGTTTTGTCCATTGATAAAAGGGCATTTGCTATCATGATGCCAATGAAATCGAAAAGGTCTTTTAATCGTGCTGTTGTAGAGGTGTCTTGGTCGAGTAGATACGGCGCCTGAGATCACAAGGTCCGCGGTTTGAGTCCCGCCGCGGCAGTAATGTCCTTTGGCAAGACATTGATCTACATTTGCCACACTCAACCCAGGTGATGTAAATGGGTACCTGGTAGGAATTAATTCCTTAAAATGCTAGAGCGCCGTAATGGCAGCCATGCTAGAACGAGGGTAATAATCGGGAGCGCCAGGAGTGTCAAGTCTGACAGATATGCTCTGGTTTATAACATTACGAGCCAGAGCAACATAACACTGAGTTCCTATAGGAAATCTATTTATTCAGATGGTCATATCTCAGCCAATACTAAACATATTCAATTGGTTTTCGACGTTCGGACATTATTTTTGATGCTCTTTCGGAAAATGAAGAAAAAATTGAGAAATTCTAAAAATACATTTTTATGATGTCACAGCTTCGGTACTCTATACAACAACCCACTTTTATTATTTATTTTTGTACATTGAATTATCTCAGGCTGTAGGTGTATCAGCAGTCACCGGTCAAGGAATGGACGACTTCTTTAAAGCCGTAACTGAAGCTGTTGAAGAATACGAGACGTAAGTCATTAGCAGACCAACCCCAGTAGATCATACAGATAGAAATATTACAGTATTAGTCTTGATGTGATTCTCTAAGATTTCTTATTGTCATTATGCTAAACTTTTCATTTGAACAATTTACAAGAAGTTTAGCAGATTTATTAACCTACATGAATCCCCTTTATCTGTTCTACATCTGTTTCCATCACAATTCTTCAGTGAATTTACATTTTATGTTCTGCAGTCATTGAATTGAAACAAAGAAATGAAAAAGGCAAATTCATCTCTTTACACACTAACAAAAAAATGTTTTGGCAGAAAATTCTTAATTTGCTTTTTCCAATGTTTCTCACAAAATGTTACAAACATGTAGCACCTGCGTGTATAAGTTTTTGACTCTTTAGAGATTCCTATTTCTGATTGTATTTCTTTTATCTTGCAGTGAATATAAGCCGCAGTATGAAAGGTTGAGAAGAGAAAAGGTATGTATACTCAGTTGTTAATTGTTGGTATGTTTAACTAGTTCAGTATCATTTGTGATAAATTGCTGTTAGTCGGTATTAATCTTTATCACACGTGACTGTTCTATATACTTTTTTTTGTATTAGAGGAGTGACAAGTATTTAGAACAATATTTTTACTCCTGAAAATTTACTTGACAGATTGTTTTTGAGAAATGTTCCACATTTTTAATAAAAGTTCTCCATATTTACGGTTTGTCAGTTCCTCTTTTAACACATCCCTTTCTTTCATATTTTGTTTCAGACTGATATGAAATATTTATGGGGCTTGAGGATTGAATATGGAAAGTAGATTGTAATTTCCTTCTCTTTATAGAAATCCATTTTCACAATGTGAAATATATGACAATCACTTGGACTATTACCAACATGATGTGTCTCCCTATCATGTTATTTGATGATTCCAGTGAGCATTGAATTAATCCTAATTAATACTTGTTTTAGATGGAAGCAGAAGCCAAAGAAGCACAAAAGAAGTTGGAGAAGGTCAAGAAGGGGAAAGGTCAAGGTTCAAAGGTCGGACTGACAGGAGTCTCGATGGAGGAAGGTAAAACATTCATACTACAGAGCAATAATCTATGTACTTTTCCCCAAATGAATGAATATTTGAATTAGCCAAACAAATAGAATTTTAAGTAAAAGGGGAACACAATTAATTAGTAGGAAAGTCGAGAAAGTCTCACATCCTAGGGAGTCAAACAATCTCTCCCCCCCCCCCCCCCCCCATTTTTTTGTCTTTTGATATATCTTGTGAAACCTCATTATAACAAGCTACCGGTAATTTTACTAGCCCTATCTCTTAGTGTCCATTGTCTTGTCTTGTGTAAGAGGGTACAATCTATTTCAGAATGATAAAATTGTAGAAAGTCAAGATTTAAGATTCATCATGGGTTCCCTATGTCGGTACACCTATCATGTCACTTGAAATCATCAATTTAAACAAAAAAATTGTATTCCTCTAATGTCTGATCTCATTTTGATCCTCATATTCCAGACAGTAAGTGTGCCAAAAATCTCATCAAAATTAGAGTATGAACAATGTGATTTTCGCAAGTAAAGGCAGTAATGTTATTTTGCAAAAGCAAAGGTTTGGATGTCTGCCCACCCATTCATTTTAGATGCAGCTCAGAATTTTTGACGTGAAGGATGGCATTTTGAGGCATGTGAATTAAATTACATGAATTAGACTTTTTTCATTAGTCGTCACTTCTTTTTGCGCAAATACTTATCCCTAAAACTAGAGATGAAGATTTTGTATTCATTGCATGTTTTGTTATGTTAAAATTGCATACTTTTGCATATGCGTAGATAAGAGACATACTATGTTATAATTCCTTGCATTTTGTTGTCAGGTGCAGTCATCAAAGGCCCATCTGTGGAGCTGAGGTTAGGTCCAGATGAAGATGAAGAAGAAGTAGCGCTGGATTCTGATGATGATGGTAAGATTTAAGTTTAGCCGTTTGATACTACAGTCAAACCTGTCTGTAGCAACCGCCCAAGGAAGAACAAAAAGTGGTCTTTGTAGACAGGTTCCTTTAGTATATGTTTCAATGAGAAAACCATTTTCAAGGGAAACAAAAAATGTGGTCTTTGTAGACAGGTGGTTGTTAAGCCAGTTTTTACTGTATTTGCTTGTCAAAGCAAAATCAAATCGAATCTAAATATTTGTTGGTTTTGGTATTTATTTTATGCTACTGCTAAGGAAGCAAGTAAATGCTTTGTAGATTGGCAATAAAGTGAAACGTAAAGCTTTAAGACCTTGTAGAGAAACTCTGAAATTTGTTAATGTGGCCGCTGCGTTACCAAGGAGACTTTTTTCGTCCTCAGATCAACTTCCCATGTGAAACATGTATTGATATACAAATAACATATTGTTCTGAGTGAATAAGTTTGAATTACCACACTAGCTAACTTTGTAATGGCGTAAGGCTCATGATCAGTTTGCTCTGTCATTAAATCTGAAGACGATTCTCTCTTTTTGAATTGCAGGCATGTAATTCATAATGAAATGACAAGAATTAACTACAAATTCAAAGCTATTATAAACTGCTGAAATCATTTTGGAATATATTTGATTTCAAGATTAATTGATAACTTTGAATATAAATCTATATTTTTTTGCTTAAAATATTTATAATGTTTAATAACTTTTATTTTTTTACTAGACGAAGATGAGCTGAAGGAGGCTGAATCATTCAAGAGATTCTTACAAAGTCAAGGAGCACATACAGACTCATCTTGCCAATCAACAAGCACCAAACCATCAGGTGATACATGACATCGCAATGGCAACAGTCTTGTGTAGCCAATCAACAAGCACTAAACAGTCAGGTGATATGTTACATCACAATACCAAGCAAGCTTCACAGACATTATGTAGGCAATCAACAGGCACAAACTAGTCAGGTGATACATGACATCACAATGGCAACAGTCTTGTGTAGCCAATCAACAAGTACCAGTCATTCAAGTGATATGTGACATAACAATAGATGACTCATGTAGCCAATCAGCAAACTTCAAACAGGCAGTTGATATGTAACATATCATGAAGGAATCCAGCTACATGGACTTGACTCCTGTAGCAAATCAGTGAGCAAAACTCTTGGGTACCTTTTGTTTGTACCTTAAGCATTTTCTTCCAGATGTCCACAGATGCTTCCTGGATATTTGAGCACCAAATGCGCTGATGAGATCCTGGCTCCAAGCTCTCAATAAGTAGAAACGTATAAGTTAGCATGCATATTTAGTCATCCTTTACTTTCAGACCACCTCTCTCTGGTAGTGTCCCTGTATCAATCCAATCATTGGGAACATACATGTATGTTTTGCAGGACATTTTTCTTAGCTTGCTTGTTTATACAGTTAACATCTAAATTATTGGTAACCTTACCAAGTTTTGTAAATTTTTAAGTATGTGAAAATTGGATCTGACCCGATTTATTCTTCTTGAAAAGGTGACATAATAGAGCTTACTAAAAGTATTCAACAAAGTATCTAATTCAACCAGTTCACCTTTCATTCTTGAGTTACAAAACACAAAATACATCAAATTAAAAGGGGTATGAATAACTAGGTTGTTAACTGTACATGCTCAAGTGTAATTGGGATATGTATGGTGGAAAAAAACATAACCAAAAGCTCAAATTTGATTGCCAATGTTCCAACTTCTTGAGGAAGAATGTATTGATCTCTGAAATGAATATTAAAAGTTTTTTTTTCCTTCTTTTTCCAAGGAATAATTAGTGTAAGAAATATTGTAAGATTAAAAAGTACAGGCGGAGTATAACATTGAAAATTGAAAGTTCACAGATTCAATTGATTCGCATATGAGGCGCATTACCACCAACAACAAAAAATCTCCATTCTGTTTCCCTAAAGCAGAAGTGTAGTTTGCAACATACATGCATACATCTTGATGTGAGCTTTAAAGACTTTCTTTGGTAATTGATTGATTCAGCTATCTTGTTGAATTTAGATACTCATTACATAAAGATTGCTGCAACTATGTTTTATGTACTAGAATGTTTTGGTAATGGATTCTCATAATTTATCCAAAGGAAGTTATTTTAATATACATGTATCATGATTTTTCAAAATTAATCACATTGTTTATGAGCTGTGTGGTATGAAATGCATTAATGTAAATACATACGTGTATATCAGAAGAACATAAATAAATTTGTGTTCTGTTTGTTTAAAAGAAAAGTTTCAGAGTATTTTTTGTGAGTAAAGCGCCTGAAAATGGCATGCAGTGTGATAACCTAGTTAAGAATGTACTCACAAATGATGATTGTGATGGTTGAGATCAATTGATTGATTGATTGGTTGATCAATTAATTGATTGATTGATTGGTTAGTTGGTGGGTTGATTGTTTAATTGGTTGATTGATTGCTCGCTGATTGCTTGGTTGATTGGATAATTGATTGATTGGTTTATTCATTGATCAGTTGATTTAGTGATAGAGTGGTTAAAGCTTGGTTGCTGGTAAGTGTATTGATGTTTTTATTTCCTTTTTGGCTTGATTGATTGAATGATTGGTTGATGGTTTTGGTTCGCATTATTGTATTTGATTGACTTAGATTTTATCTAAAGTATCTACATTTTGCAAACTGCATTTGGCAGTCTCTTTGTATACTATATAAAAGCATGTTGTTCAGTGACCAAGAATCCAATGTGAATAATTATAAGATCAATCAGCTAAAAAAAAAATTAGTATTCATTATTCCGTAACGACCGTTAAAAATAACATATACTTTGATTGAATCTGAGAAAGAATAACTGGAAAAACTTTGAGAACTGAAATAATGTTTGAAACTAAAAGTGAATAAAAGTCTGATAATCTATCAAAGATTAGTTCTCCTTTATGAATGTCACAAATATCATAAAATATATAACAACATGTACATTAGCAGATATATAAATTACATTTACAAATGTGAGTAGATTCACTTCTAATATTCGGAAAGCCCTTCTCTCTATGACCATAATGACATGTGTCACAACCCCCAAAATACATGTGATGTACAATTTCAAAGTAATACAATTGTATCTTTGAAGAATATTCAGACTTTGTTGAAAGGTTCTATCCAATAGTTTTATTAATTAATATATGTGAACCATTATAGCAGAATCAACTGTTGCACAAGGCATATTATACAACACTTAAAAAGTTCAATAGTTTAACACAATTTCAATAAGTTATTGCAAATACAGGCCTTCTGACATCATTTTGTTGTTCTAAGAAAATAAGAAAATACAACAATCTCATCGAATCCCGAAGACTAAAAACACGTCAAAGACTTAGGTTTTACCACTCCCTTGTGACGGATGGGATTTCTTCTTCCTTTTTCTTCTGGGTCTTGTCCTGGCTCTTCTCTCATCGCTTCCTGCTGGTACTTCTCCTCTTGGTTTATTTTCTGACCCTGGTAAATCATCATACATATGCCTTTCACGTCCTTTGTACGACGGACCCATTGATTCCTCTCTTTGACTGACACCACTTTGTTCAGTTGTCTTGATCCTTATAGGATCTAGGTGTCCTCTTCCTCGAAGGTCATATGCCTTAGATGACCCCTGTATATCTCTTCCAGGGTAAGGATGGGATAGTTGTCCGTAGATTGTTGGGGCGGTGATATTGGACGGTCCTCCTGAGACATCTATGTGTCTGTCCACTCTAGGCTGATGATAGGTCATAGATAATTCCTTTGACTCTTGTTCTGGACAGGGACAGAGTTGATGTTCATAGTTCCTAGAAGCGCTGTATTGTTCTCTCGAAGTCTCCTGTCTTGCTGCATCCTTACGTGGAGCCTTCAGATAATGAATTAAAACCAACATATTTGTATACGTCTGATTCGAAAAATGGCATGTTATAGTTGGAATATGGTGAAGGGAAAATATATTCTTGGCAAAGCTGCAAAGGTTTCGCTAATATGGTTAGATCTTTAAAAGAAAATTATCAAAATGTTTGCCATTTTTTGACAATATGATTTCTTTTTACATTGTATTTTTGCTATCGCTTTTGTTTAAAACGTTGACGAACCATTCCCATAGATCAAAATAGATATCTATACAACAGCGCTAATTAGAGAGATTGAATGAAACATTTATCTATAAAGAAAATGCATTTTTAACGTGTTAACCATGAATTCATACACAATTTAATCACTTTTAATTATCATACTGATATCAATTTTATGCAACCATTTGTTAAATTCTTCTTACAAACCTGTTGTTCAGATGAAAGGCTAGGTGGTCGCGAAGTATTTCTGCCAGACTTTTTCTTATATCTCCTCTTATGATTTGATGAAGGGTCACACATGCTATCATTCAATGCTGTGTTCCTTTGTGAGGTTACACCAAACGAGGAATGTTTCCTTGTATTGATGTTCGGACCATGGTATCTTCCTGTCTGAGACCAGCTGTCCATCGTACCGTCGTAGAGGGATGGCCGATCTGTAGAGGACATCTTCCTGGAGCTTCGCCGGTAATCCAGAGATCTTCTATGTTGGTCTTCTCTCAGGGTCTCGTTGCCGACCAAAGAGACTCGCTTCAGGGGTTCTAGTCTCATGTGCTCCAGGACTATGTTACCAGTCCTGGAACTTCTCTCCGTCCCGCAAACACTTCCCATATGATACCCCACATGCCCTGACCTTGAGGTTGCCTTTGACAATGACCTTGTGAGTTCAAGGTCAAGGTCATTTTCCTCAATGGGGATGGACAAGGTGTCCCTTCGGTCCCGCTGTTGAGTCGAGCTGCTGCCGAGGCGTCTCGAGTCGGTGCCGATGGAAGTAGACATGGTTCTTCGACTCTGGTCTGTATTGCTCACGTTCGTTCGTCTTCTCCAGTGTTCAATGCGCCACCTGAAATAATGAGAAACCATAGATATTCCAAATTGTGTTAACGTTTATCTTTCAATGGTATTACATTTTGGGTCACGCTTAAGTTTTATTTAAAATGCATCATATATATGAATGCATCTACATCTCTATTTTCCCCCACTTTTTGCAATGTACAACTAGGTATGTCACCTTGCCTGAGGAACTTATACATTTATTTGTATCCGGTACTGCAAGTCGTCCGTTATTTTTGTTCGTCTTCTTCTTCTTCTTTCAGTGTAAGAGCTGCTTCAAGGTGCTAACGATAAACATACTGATTGTGTGTGTATAATGTGGAGACATTCACATATGCTGTTATTCCACATGTTAACATTTTAAATTTGTGTTCTTGTTGTGCAGGTGCATATATACATGTGTAAGTAAAAAACGTTCCCGGCCTTGAAGACATTACATCTGCATCCCACCTTGAAGGCATCAATAGAGGGGTATTGGGCTGGGTCCTGTGGTAGGTTGTTCCATTCCTTGAGTCGTTAATTCTTTCTAAAGATGAGCTGATTACCTGAAAGCAGAGCTAGCACTGGTAGTCACTTCTGACTTGACACGGCTCATGGCATCTTCTCCCTTGCTGCCATGCTCCCTTCTGGTCTGATCATCATGATGCTTCATACCAATATCCCTCTCCGGTCGAATCTGAGAAACAGACGTAGAGGTCGGGACTGATGCTGCTATGTGCTGCCTCTGAACGACATAGAAAATAGCATATCAAACAATACTCAAATACTGCCCGACATTGTTCCCATAAACTTGTGTATATGACTGAATAAATCTGTTTAAAGTAAATAACCGTTTTCTTTAAAGCAGCATGATTACGATGTTAAATAAGCTACTCTGGTCTAGTATGTCTAGAATTTGTTCAAGCAGTTTTGCAACACAAATTGTGTTGAATGTCCTTTAAAAATAGACAAATAATACAGAAGGATCGATAGGTTTCGGGAACCTAAAAAACTGCACTTGCCAATAATATATGTGAAAACTGTCTAGAATCCTGGATCCATAAAGTGAGACCCTTCGTCCGTATATAGAAATAAGACCTCCAACGTTGACTTACCCAGCTTTCTCTCGACGCATGTTTGAGCGCAGTCTTCATCGGAGAACAGACGAAGTTATGAGCTACGACGAATCCCAAACTCTGAAACAAAAAAGGGAAACATAATCCCAAAGTTACATCCACAGGAGTTCTCATACTCTATTTCAATCTCAAAAGACTGCACTCATGTGATTTCATTGAAATTTTGAAATCGGTTAACATAATTATTGATACAGTAAAGTGTAGATCTTTACATAACATCTTCCAAAAAGTAACCTCAGGGAGGGAGAAAAAACCCTGGCCCCTACTGATCGAAGGTGACTATATATTCTTCCATGAATACTACCTGTCAGATGGAAAATCGAAGGAATATGTCACACATTTGTTACATCACACCTACCTCTACATGTGCTTTTTCCCCAACAAACTAGGTTTGTATGTGTCCTTTTCATAGACCGGTTAACTGGGGTAAGCCAATATAGTATTAAAGAAAAAAGAAGCATGTAGACTTCTATAGCTAGCTCGATATACCTGAACTGGATTAGCCATAGAAGTATGGTAAAGTAGAATCACAAAGAGTTCTAATAAAGGTTTGTGTTTTAAAATATTCTTTAAACTGTTTTTCCTACCTGTGTGATAGCCAAAGCACTAAAGATGTATCGTAAGATGGATGACGTAGTCCTGGTCAGGAAGAGTAGACCACATGTCCAGCATAGGGTCAAGACTACCAGACACAACATGTTACACTGAATCTCAGATCTATGAGGGATGAGAAATAATAATAATTCCGCTTCTATAGCGCTTAAAGGTAAAGACCAGTATTGGAAACGCCCCAATTTCAAAAAATGAAATGGAAGCTCTCATTACCAATCATGTGAAAGAATATGTTTTGACTAATACATGATGATAACAAATTTGCCGGGAAACCGCCTACTAGTTCATATATTTGGTAAATTTGTTTCTCTCATGGTCTGTGAGAGATATAGGGTAGCCCCATATACATCTTTTTGTGTATAGTGCTTGTAACTTTACGAAGAATGGGCCAAATTTCTTATCATTTTGATGATTCCAGAACCTTGCAGATGCTAGATGCTAGATGATCAACCTTTTCTGATCGATTCCACAACGTTCCTTTCACAATGCAATCGCATGACCATAACTGGTCTTTACCTTTAATACATCTATGATGTCTCTAAGCGCTTTACAGATATACTATTACCCCCTTCATTGGATTCAAGACTTGCCCGCACAGACTGTGTGCACAATTTTCAATTATGGATTTAAATTTTGTTTAATGTGCAACCAACCAGCTTTAACAAAGAGACAAAAGAAGAAAGATATAGTGTCTCTTTTTCTTGTGCATGGGAGGGGAAATCGAACTTAATAACTTTGACCATCGGGTCTCTCCTTCCTAATGATAAGCGTTAGTGAGTAAATGTCTGAACTACTTGTTTCATGAGGATATTCTGAAATTGGTGGAAATTCAAAGATTCTGGATGATCGAAATCTTAATATGTGACTTTTCGAGAAGGGAACCTTTTGAAGACTGACATCAGTTTATTATTTCTAAAATATGCTTCCCCGGCAGGATGGAGCGCGTTTTTATGCCAACGGCTATTGTTTAAAAACATTTAAATGTCAGTAATATCTTCTATATTAATATGAATGCACCTGTATAAATAATGTCTAATATCATTAATAGAGTCCACAGCTTAAATGACACCAAATTTTAGTGAGTGTTCTAAAAATGGATGTTGAAGTAGCATTTTCTACCATTTTACCTTATTCCCTTTCTGTAAGGTTTCGTCCTTAAATATCCCCTTGGAAATGTTTTTCTAGATCTTCTAAGGTGGGGATGTAATCCAATCAATAAACAGATGTTCGTCTGCGGAAACAAAATAGAATTTGTTATGTGACACTTAAACGTTTACTGATTTATAATGAATATCAATCGGAGCAATTGAGAAAATATGCACATTTTACAAGTAAATATACATTGTGTATGTAACTTGAATAATAGTTGAACTCTATACCACTGTATTCATCATACGTACTCCAATCTTGATAATTTTATTACCAATATTTCTACTTTTCTTTGGAAATAAGTATATTGAAAAAATTTCTCCAAAATGTATAGATATCCATTCAATAATTTGATAAAATTTATATAACATAATTATATTCAAAACAGATTGATAAATATCCAAATAGACATTTTTAAAAGAGAAAACGACTGATTTAATACAATACATTGGTCGGATCTCAATTAGAATATCAATAGATTTATTTAAATTAATGAAAAGTGTCACAAAAAGTATCAATAAATAACTGAAGTCGTTTATTATTAGAAAACTCACCATAGCAACCAGGGCAGTAGCAACAATAGCTGATATTTGTGCGTTTTCATGCAACCAACAGTGACTGAAAGTAGATAAAGTGAAACAGAACATGACTTAACTCATGTCATCTTCCTTAAGACCCCAATGCACTACTTATAGCTACTTGCGCCCTCTATATAGCAAACTATGCCTAATCGGTGTCGGTTGGTCCCCACTAGTCCCCTTTTTCTTATGTTAATTGAGATCTGATTTGATGAGATAACCACCTGCCAGTGACCTTGAAGGGAGGTTTAATCCCCCTGGCCAAATTAGTGCAGACGGGCTTTAAACATGTTTTACAGAATCCCAGTGCTATATTCACGTAGTACTCCTAATTAAAATACGTCTACGTTGTATTAAGGAACAAATTGCTTTATTAAAATATTTGTATTTCGTTTCTTGCTTATCTTTAGTACAACAATTTATCAATAACGTTTCATCTTGGTCTTTGTGCATTGCGATTTGTCTCTTTTTGCTCCAAACAAAGTGAAACTGCAAGAGTCATAGAGAATTAAGAAAGGCCATAGCCGTTGATAAAGTTATGAAAAGCATTTAAAATACCTTTCATTTTGTTAAATTAATTCCTCTAGTGTGAAAACCGATGTGGACACGGCATGAATCATCGAACCTATCTCTGATAGTTGAACACACGGTGGTTACAATGTCACCAAACTGTTTTAATCATGTTCGGTATACTGTAATGGAGAGGAGGACCATGATTGGATTGGAGCTTCTGGTAAAGGCTAGAAACCAAGTGATGGAATGACAGGATCGCTATAATATAGATATGGCATCTAGAAAGAGGGAGAGAGAAAGAGAGAGAGAGAGAGAGAAAGAGATAGAGAGGGAGAGAGAGAGGGAGAGAGAGAGAAAGAGAGATAGAGAGAGAGAGAGAGAGAAAGAGAGAAAGAGAGAAAGAGATAGACAGGATATTATACCCCATTCACAGTGGCCTCAAACACCGCGACAGCAGCGGGACTGTCCCGCTGCTGTCGCGGTGTTGTCTTCAGTGTGAAGGCTCGGACCCGTTATAAACTATCGCGGGATAACACCGCCTCGTGATAACGCCGCGACAAACTATCGCTAGGCTCGCCTAGCTACAGCAGCGGGACAGTCCCGCTGCTGTCGCGGTGTTTACTCAGTGTGAAGGCTCTCCGCTATAACACCGCGACAAACACGTGTGATTTGTTTACTTACCTATCACTGACCTCTTTTCTCCAGCAATGGGGAACATAAAGTGAAATAGAAATAAAGTAACCAGTGGATTCAAATTGATTTTATTATTATGTAGATATTATAATTATCCAAATAAAAATATTTCCCACTTCAAAAAATTAAAATATTCTGACTGGAAGCAATAAAAATGCTAGTTTTTTAAAAAGTAATATGTAAAGTACAGCTAGCGCGCACAATTTCAAGCAATCGAAAACCCCGCGCTGAAGTATTTCCGGTCATATCGGGGTCACTCGCGGGTCATGAGCCATGCATACACGTGTTTGTTACGGAGGTAATAAAAATCACCCGCTGCAGCGTGAATGGGTACATGATATTTATCCCGCTGCTGCAGCGGGATAACTTTTCTACTGTGAATGCATTTGTAGCGGTGTTATGGCGGTGTCGCCGCTCCGCTACAACGCCGCTACAAGTTTCAAAACCACTGTGAATGGGGTATGAGAGTGAGAGACAGAATGATGAGAGACGGATAGACGAGGGGAAGTAATAGACAGAGGAAAAACGAAATAAGAGAGAGAGAGAAGAAAGAGAGAGGGATAGAGATTTAGAGGAAGGAAGAAGAAAGAGAGGAGAAAGAGAGATGTATGTCCGTGTGTGTGTGTGTGCGGGGGGGGGGGGGATATATTCCTACAGGCTTTTGTTCTGATCGAGCAACTAATCCTCAATAAACTACTCACCCATTCGCTCCACCGAAGTCATCAATCCAGAATGCCAGGGTTACACCGATTGGTAGGAGGGGAGAGACTGGTTTACAGAATAGTCAGGGAATAAGATGAACATTAGATAGAGCCAGATGTTACATACTTTCACTTGATGATATCTCTTTTATGTGAAAAGGTCCGGGAAAAGGTCTATTGATCTGGCTGTATTATTTTGACACTGCCGGTACTGCAAGTGCACTTTTTACACGGCAATAATCTCAACTCATCAGTAAACTGTTAAGCCATTCCACATGCAAGAATGGCAAGAAATAAACAAACACATCTTTGTTTATTATTGTTGCTTTTGTCCTTGTTATTTTGTGATTAGTATGTGTGTGCCTGTACATAAATTCATCAACGGGAAGAACTACATTTTCAGCATTGATAGTTTCCCTTTAAATATTTGTGTACATCCCCTAAACCTCATCAATGATTCAACCTCAGGTGGAATTATACCATTACAATAATCATCGGCAAAATAGTACAGGACATATATAGATAATCAGGTTAAGTGATATCAGGGAGCTGGATTGGTGGCTTTTATCTCTTTAGAGTGATCTCTCTTCCGCGTGACTCTATTAAAGCGGTAATGACCTGGTAAAGAGGATTAATGCCTTACCAAAGGGCACTTGCGCATCGTCTTGCTTTCGAACCCGGGTCACCGGATTACGAGACAGCTGGTCTACCAACTGAGCTATCGCGCCTCCTGTGTGTTCGCAGTTGGTACATAACCTCATGAATGAATCCCAGGTATATATAAAATGTATTTAAACCCTTAAAAAAGAAAGAAACTTACTCCATCCAATAATTTGCCAGAGCCAATAACGCACTGCATGCTGGCCTCCTCTTGTGGATAACTTCACACATAGGTAAATTGCGCCCTCTACGTTCTTGAAGAATTGACAGATGATACCGTAGTATGTCAGACCAGCCAATACTTTGCATGTTACCTAAAATATATATATTCAGTCATACCATTTTACATTCATCATGAACAGAACCCCTTAAAGTCATCTAAAAATGAGAAATGGGAAATCGTTTTGTACGGACACTAGTAGCTCGCATACATTTTTGAGATAAACGTTTCGAATATTTGTTGTAGATGTCACATTGCTTCACTGAATGTGGAAAATATGATTCTTACATGAAATTAAAATCACTTATGCAGTACTTTTCTTAATGACTTTAAGGTGGTACCTCCGAGAAAAAATAATCTGACATCGTTCCTTCTTCACTATTTAAAACAATCATAGGTAAGTTAAACATGGGGACTACGTATTTATGAGGCAATTAACGTAAACATACGCTTTTCTGAAATGCGTAGGGCACAACAATCAACTTGGTTTTACTTAATTAAGTAAAAGTAAAAACATTGTAAACACATATACCAAGTGACAGGTTGGGAGCCATCTTACTTACCCCAGTAAAGATCTTTATCGATGGTACGATGACAGATGTGAAGGCTACAATGCTCGCTATGTCTTGAGATACATGCGCACAAATTATCCCACCATCAATATATCTAAAAAAGATTCAATAAATGACATAAAATTGTCATAATATCATACTGTATTGTATTGTACGGGTTATGTCATTGTGTATTGATCTGAGCATCGTTTGGTTCATGATTTATTCAGAACAGAAAAGTGGTATGGATACTAGTTTGACCTTTGGTGAGCACTGACAGAACTGAAGAAAGAAAAAAAAAACTGAGTCATATTAAGTCAAGAACAGTTATGATCTCCGTTTATTGATGCATATCTTTTGTAAGTGGGGTTATTCTAAAACGGCACACGACTGAGAGTATTGTTAGATTTTGAACTGACAATATTTATTTGACCTTTAGTGTAAGAATCGCGGCATTAAAGCAAGCCAAGACATGAACTAAGTAAATACAACGTGTACAAAGTCCCATCATAAGTCGTGAGTATGTGTGTGTATGTGTAATTCTTTTTTCCTTTTTCAGACGTATATCAATCAGATATAATTATTTACGTCTGGGTACCGACCTGTAATGTCACCATCCGAAAGACGTTTAGCAAATAGCATTATAGGTAAAAATTGTCCACATTAAACCAGATTCCAGAAAAGGGATAACAGTGCTATTGCCCCTATCCCTTATTGAGCCGCGTAGCGTTAGTCTACACCCATTGAGAAGGCAGCGGAACGATAGGGTGGAGGGGAGGGGGAGGGGGGCGGTCGTCCTCGGAAAATAAAATTCGAATGTACTAAGGTACTGCTTTGGGCGCAGGAGGTAGTCCGCATGTTTTATTTTCGTCATTTCTTCCTTCCCCTTCCCCTTTCGATCTATCTTTGTTCATCTTTTTTATGTTGTCATCTCTCGATGGGGGGGGGGGGGGAGGAATGCACGTGTCCCTGTGCCCCCTATTGCTACGCCACTGCCCTTACCTGAATACAAAATGCAGTAGAATATCTAAGATGAGTACCAAGCAAGCTACCCCTGTAAGGACAACGTGTATAACGTCTATAGTGAATGAGGATGCGTCCTGTAAAATAAGCAAACAGAAAAAGTGAGTATTTTTTAATCTCATCCCATCACTACTTTGTATTTTAACCTCTTATTTTACTGAGATAAAAAAACCAGTGAAAAAAAAAAGACAAAACATCTATCACTAGAAACCGTTTACTTTATTATTGTGATAAAAATGATGTGATTTTTGCCCGCTTCTGAAATATATGTATACGAATCAGGCATATACTACTCCCCCCCCCCTTTTTTTTTTTACCAACTTGTCCACTTGTAGAATTTCTTGCTTAATGCTAATAATGAATGACATTTTTTTTTGCTGAATGTTATCATGAGAATATCATGCCTTTGTTGCTTGACAAAAAAAAATGTTTTCGTAGTGATTTAAAGGGAAATCCAACCTTAACAGACAACTATTCTTAAAGAAAGCAGCAAATTTAGAAAAGCAGGCTGGTAAAAGGTTTAATTAAATCGGACAAAATATTCAATAATTTAAAATAATTGAATCCACCGACCGAATTTACAATTTGTGATTCACATAGATTTAATAATCTACATTTCGAAACTTCCTTATTACTTGACCTGATTTATTTCAAACTTTCGCCATTCCTGTTCTCTTTTCTTTCTGTTTACATACTGATGAAGTTATTACACGTGTTGAAATGCCCTTTAATGAAATCCATCACAATCCTACCTGATCGATTTCTAGTAGCGCGAATGTTGTCATGTGGTTGCAGCAACATGTTGTGGAGTGATTTGTCTTTGTTTTCAGCCAACAACCTTCCGTTGACCATTCCGACTCACCCCTGGTCAAACAATGAAAAGGATCTTAGCTTATACGTTCAAGTTCAAGTTCAAGTTTATGTTCATTTTTTTAAAATCACAGTAAAAGCATATTCACATACAAATCAGAAATACAGCAGAGATGCAAATCATTATGCATGGAATTAAGGGTACCGTAAAAGACCAAGGTGGTCTTGTCGAGATAGTCCCTCATGAAAAACAGGTTGAAAGTTCTGGAAAGCAAGAGGAGCGTACAATATATTCAATCATTTAGTTACACATTGTTGCATACCATGTTTAGTAATCAAATTTATGTAATCATTCTTTGAATTAAAGTTTGTACTCTCATTTATTCTAGGATATGCAGGTAAGGTCATAAATTAACTCGTATCAAGGAAGAACAAAGCGATTACTCATATTTTACTCTTTACTATAATAATAATAATAATAATAATAATCCGGTTTTTTATATAGCGCTCAATACACCGATCCAACGATGTACCTAAGCGCTTTACAGATATATTATTACCCCGGTCATCGGATTCAGGCTTACCCGCACACAATGTGTGCACATTTTCCACTCCCTGGGGAGCATTCCAGCCAGTCGCCATTTTACAGGCGCACACTTGCTCGTTCAACCACATGAACGTTCGCATCCTACCGGGTACCCATTTAACACCTGGGTGTAGAGTAGCAAATGCAGGTAAATATCTTGCCAAAGGATATTACGTGTTTGAACGACATAAACCATAGTAATGCATTTCTACTGTACAATTTGTCATTCATCTGACAGTTTCATTTTCTATTCTAGTTCAACCGCAATGGAAATGTGCATACATCCCAGCAGATGCTATATGTTTAGCAGTTTTGTGGTATTTACTTACGTCGTTGATCTCGTGATGAATGCACATTGCCAGCTTGTGCTCTGGTCCTATAAACAAAGTAAAGAACAATGCATGAAAACCAAACATAACTCAGATATGAACGTCACTTTCGAAAAGAAATGCAAACAAGATAGGTATATTGGCATTGATCAGTCAGATATCAAAATGTATGAATAAATAATCACAATCGTTAGTTCTGTATCTTTATGTTATCTCTTGCAAAGTAAACCTTGTTCTGTAATAACTGTTAAGAAGTATTGTACCATTTGTCAATAATTCAAGTGGGAAAACAGAACGCTACGTTGCCTTGTGTTCTTAGCGTTCCTTGCTATCTGATTTCATTACCAATTTAGCTTGAACTACCACCTAAATTAAAATGCAAACAAACTTGCGGAAGAATTCATTAAAGCCCATCTGCACATCTGCACGGTCACTGGCAGGTGGTTATCTCATCAAATCAGCTCTCAATTAACATAAGAAAAAGGGCATCATGGGGGATCAACGGGTACCGCTTCGGCATTGTTGGCTGTATAGATGGCGCAAGTTGCTATGAGTAGTGCAGTGGGGCTTTAAGATTCATTACCTGGAGTACACTTGTAAAAGACATGCAGAATGGTGATGTGAACTGGATGTTATGGTCGCTTGTCGTCTGATGGATGGTTGATGCTGTAACTATTGTTGGGTATACCTGTGATACGCTGAAATGAAATGAAAAATACAGATAACAACTAAATTATTTATACCCCTTTGAAGTTTGATTTTTGTTGGGGTGTTTTTCGTAACTCAAGAATGAAAGTTGGACTGGTTTAATTAAAGGCTTTGTTGAATATCTTTAGATGCGAGTTTTTATGCGTCATATTCCGAAGAAACAGAAATCGGGGCAAGTCAATTTCTCACATAATTTTTGTTCCTTAAAACAAATTACAAAACATTGTAAGGGTATGATTAATTTAGTAGTAAACTGGATGTGTATTCGTTAGGTGTGGTCTGATCAGAACAGACAATTGCATTTAAGTTTAGAATGAACTCCATTAATTTATGAGGCTTTCATGTCTGATTAGCGTTGCATCATTTCGTCCGAGCCTGAATTGTCGACCTTTTTTACTTTTCAACCATGTCAACTGATTTTCACTATTTACTAGATCAGGTAAACAGTCCTTCTTCTGTTATTATCAAAGACTGATACAACCCCATCGGCACTTCTCCACACAATGACAATTAATATAGACAATCTATGTATCTTATGATGTGAATGCTAGATTATGTTTACAAAAAATTGTACATAAGTAATGAAAAGGCAAGAGACATACCTTTGATCTGATCCTGTTCTTATCCTTTCTACCAAAGAAGCAATGGTCGGGTAAAAAGCTATTACTGACGTCACTGAAGATTGTAAAATAAAGATGAGAAATCCAGTGATCAATAAATGTCAAACAATGGAAGAAAAACCCTACATTTTTACTTCAATCTTTAAATATTCTTTCGTTTTCTCCTAGTCCTAAATACATGTAATGCACGATCTGAAATAGGCTGGAATGCAGATTGCGTTTCCAGGTCGGACCGAAATGAGTTTAAACTCAACTTTCATGACAGAAACTGCAGGGGAGAAAAAAACAATATAGTGCTCTCTTATGATGACCACATTTAAACCTTAACCCACCCCACACTCACACATTCTCACGCACAATCACGCACACGGACACATACGCATGGGAAGCTTACCTGTGTCATTGAGCATGCCATTGGAGGTATAGAAGTTAGAGTTGACAACTATTTCTGCATCTCCTCCAGAGTATATGCCACCTTCATATGACTCCGTCTTGAACTGCATCTTCAGGAAAACTGAGATTAGATTCATGAAATGAAAACAAAATAAGACGGAATTTCATGTTTGGTTACAGGGCTTGATTCATTTTGGGGAACGAAAGATTTGATTTCCTATTTTTCTATTTACACAAAAGAAACAATATTCATAAACATAGTGTGCAAAGCGGCTTCAGCATCCTCGTTTTGTTCTTTTGAAGAGGAGCGGGAAAATAAATATTTTATTTTAACAGATGATGAGTTCCCTTCAGAAACTGTGCAGCAAATATGGTCAAAGTGCCTGAAGCTATACAATCACAGAATTATAATGATGATGATAATGTTATCGATGATAATAATATTCATTTTTTAATTAAAATCTAACGATGATGAAATATCTGGACCTCATCTTATAAGGGCTTACAATTGACTCGAGTCGATCGAAAATTGAAATTTATAGCAACTCCTTTCTCTGAAGTACACAGTTGCTTATTATTTCAAGTTGCGATTGGTTTTAATCAATTGCAACTCTATATAATGCAGGGTCCCAATAATAGAATACCTATGTTTTGGTAGACCCCTTCGAATGTCTTGATACTGCTTGTAGGATTCAGACTGAGATGGCATTCATTGCCTGAGGTCCTAGCTGCAAATGTATCTACGGCTTCGATTAGCTTTACCACCTCTTCCCCAGCCTGAGAAATAAATCAAATTATAAATAAATATTGAATAAATGATCCATCAACTCTTAGCCATCTTAGAACATAATGTACTGAGCAGCTAGCATTATAATTAGACAATAACAGATGGGTGAAACAATAAAAAGAACCCTCAATGATAGTTTTCACGAACATGTTTTCATGCTAAAAATATTTTCATTAAATATATTTTTTTCAATTCGTCAAAACAACTTTGATTGTAGAATCTCACTAACAACTTTCCATAAAGCATGTGATGAAGACATTATAAAAGAGAGAGAAAATGTTTTTGATGTTGCCATATATTTAGATTCTCGTTTTGTTGTTCTTTAAAAATATATTTCTATTGAAAATGTGTTTCCTTGTCATCAAAACAGAAGTATTCTTACTCCAGTTCATAATTCATATTATTCTTTAGGATTTTTAAGTGCCTACCGTTATTATCATTTTTTATTTCATATCTCATTAATATGTGAAATATCTTACTCCTGCTATATGACTCCATTTCTCGACGTTTTCCTTGAGAAGAAGGGCATCGACTGCTTGCAGGAAAAGCTGGTCAGATAGAGACATGAGAATGGTCAAGGGGGGGGGGGGTCAGATACATCATTACAACTTATAGAAACACTTTTAAACGTAAATACTTTTATATTCGTGTTATCGATATAGTCTTCCTGACTTACAAACACAGATTTGCAACAATATACTTTTTGTTGTTGCGAAGATGTGCATTTATTTTTCTGCATGGTAGATCATGTTTCATTGTACTCGTGTAAAGGAAGGATTTATACATGTGTTTTATTTAAAGGCGAGAATAGATCGAACTTTTTTCTTTATGTTGTCTCTGTTAAATATGTAAAAATAAACCCCTGTTTACAAGCATTGCTGGTTTGAGTGATAGCGAAACCATCGCTATTTAAAAAGTGATGCAATTTTAACGTCATGTGAAGAAAGAAATGTATTTTTTTAATGATGTTTGGATCTAAGGAGTACATGACTAAATTTCCAAATATGTATTTTCGATGTTCTACATGCTTACATTTCCGTATTCAAGCTGGTATTCAAGCACGCATTCATCCACTCTACTCGGTAGCTGTGATATAATCTGCATGGCTTCAACGTAGGCAGGCAACAGGTCAGTCCCTTCAGTGACGTCATAATGGGAGTTAAGCTCCTCGGCAGAACGTGATAGGCGATATGCTAATCGCGGTAAGTCACGTGGTTCAATGGTCGGCTGATACGAGACTGATATCAACTAAATGAAGTAAAGTAAGTACAAAGAAGTGGCAACAAAAGGGACCCTCTGACAAATTGTCCTACACCGTTACTGACCGGAAAATACATTATGAGTTATGCACTAACTTGTCAGGCCTAATTAAGGTACACCGCCAGACCGTCTCTAGAGCGATTCCAAACAGGTCTATTATTGGTCATTCGCGATAATATGATTTTATGTTGGGTATTTTTGGTTTGGTATAGGTCTCGTTGGTGTGGTTGAGATATAAATTTCAATTTCCTTGTGAATTGGGGAGACGATGATATCAAATCGTTTGTACGCGACAATATTTTGAAGAGAAAGATAATGATTACCTTTTCCTCGTTATCTCGAGATAGCGAGGAAAAGGTAATCATTATTTTTCTCTTTAAAAAGAAAATCAATTTGTAGGTTGGTATTGAACACCATGGAGATAGGCATGGTAGCCGTGCAGTTGCGACTGTATCCCATCCCGTGCCACCGTCTGTGAGAATACCCGGATCAGACTTTGCATTAGACCTAAGATACATTAATTGCTTCCATTCTTTATATATTTTTAGCGATTATTGATCCACCCCTCCTTGGTTCCACTTTATACCTGTTTTAATCGAACGTCGTTGAATTTCATCATGGAAACAAAGATATTTTCTTTAAACTGTAAATACTTTCAACTTTAAATCGTACACATCGATTCTACTCGATAAATAGAGTAATAGTGTATTAAATATACATGTTATGTTAATCCTCATTGGCGATATTCATGTATACTTACGTCATCAAGTTGCTGTCCAATGGGAGGTATGGAGCACGCTTCAATGTCTGGTTCAGCCCATAGACGAGATGATAAACACAGTCGTGTTATTATCTCTGGAAAAAAATGGAAATATACAACAACATAAGGATTTTTGTTTTAAAACCTATTCCAGAAGGATTGTAGAAAAAGGGAATACATTTGAGCCCTGAAAGCACACTAGGCCATGAAAGTTGAAAAAAGTAAAGAATAATTACGCTAAGCATTAAACAAATTCTTATGAATTAGTTTGATCTTCAGGTAGAGGTGAAATACTGTCATTTATCATATCATACCGATCTTAAAAAAGCAATTGAAAACGTGAAAATTACGTCACGTTAGTGAAATTATTTCCGGCTGGTATTGCAATAACAAATCTACACAGGATATATAAATTTCTAACCGCAGACGTCTGTATCCGCAACAACTTCCATTCCTTCCTTATTCCATGTAACTCACCGTACGGATTTTGAAGACATTGTGTAACTGCTGTATGACCTACGGGTGTTTGCTCCCATCTCTGTCCTGCGTATATCTCTGCCATACACACCTCTGCAAACAAAAAACATGTATTCATTGATCAAACTTAAAGACAATGTTGAGTTCTGGGGAGAGGTGAAAACTAATTTGTGAGCATTATTAGTGCAATTACGCAGTGCGAAAGAACATCAGAGAAAAAAAACGTTCCCTGAAAAGCATGGCTCTTCCAATGCCTTTATATTCTAAATATGACAAGTAACAGCTTAAAAACGAGGCCCGATTCTTATGCCACATGCTTATGCAGTTCCATGTACATCTTTCTATGTACAGTGCTTGTTCCTTTACCAAGACTGGACCAAATTTCTTATCATGTTGATGAATCCAGAACCTTGCAGTACACACAATACTTATATGCTACATAATTATTTTTTTCTGATCAATTCCACACAGTTTCTTCACAATGCAGTCGCATGATGAGAACTCAACTCCATCTTTAAATGTATATTCAATGTATTTTTACCTATCGTAGATATGTTCTACCGGATGACTGTATCGAATAATTGCCCTAATCAAACATGGGCCACATACAAATATAAAATATCAACGATGTGAACCATTATTCTTTCTTCCTTTTTCCCCATTAAACCTACTCTAAGTCATATTCCTATAAGCCATGCCTCATACAGAGACCCAAAATATCTTGGACATGTCAATGTATAAGCGCGGTAGTGTGTCTCGAAAGTTGAAGAAAGCAAATCTACTTGTATATACCAGTATTTCAGTTTTGTTAACAACCTGTTATAGATCCAGGAACATTTCCCTATAAAGAAGGGTAATAATATTAAACGTCTCCCACAGAGGCTGATTGCATAAATGACTGTACAAGAATGTCATATTAACAATTGTATTGTAGAGCTTCAAATAGAATAATCATAATGTTGATTAACATTCACTGTTAATCTAAAGATTGAGAGACTTTACATGTATATGATTATGTCAATATGTTTTATTGTATTGTACTATTTTCTTTTTATATCGTTGAATAAAGATGAATTGAATTGAATTGAATACTTACCATCCAGTACATGTGTGTCGTTGAAGGATCCCTCTACAGGCGTTTCTTGTGTGACTGGTGTTGTGCAGTTTGGTGTCAGTGCCTCACCAGGACCGTGGGGATCGCAATGGACAGTGTATGTGCTTTGAGGTGTGGTCGCAAGGGCTAGCTTAGTGGACAGTGTGGGGGCGTTAGAAGTGGTCAAGGGAACAGTGCTTTTGATTCCAGTTGTCTTTAGTTCAGAGAATTTAAGGGTGTTTGTGTTCAGTGCATCTTTGGGAGACAATGTTTCTTGCCCCTTGGCAGCATTGGAATAGGTTGAAATGTCGATTGGGTTGACGCTCGAATGGACTGAAATCAAGCCTTCTCCCGTTGAAGGAATCTGACTAGTTACAGGAGAGACCATTGACCCCGAGGTGTACTGGACGGTTCGTTTGATTTCTGAGCCCGACTGTGTATCACTGGAATCTGTCTCCATACTATAATGTTTAAGAACTGTGCTGGAGGGTGCGATTGTCACTAATGAACCTGACTCAGACACGGGTAGAATTGCTTGTGAATCAGTTGGTGTTTTAGAACGTTCAGCAGGAAAGCTGTTGATCAATCGAGATGACTTCTTAGAAATATCTCCGACTGATTCGGTGTGACTATAAACGAATGTTGCAGATAGTATGTCAGATGTGCCTTTAAAAGTGAAAGAGTTTTCGAAAAGACTTGGTGAAACCATCTGGTCTACATTTTCTGAGCTTGAGATAATGTCTGACACCTCGTTACTTGGCGAATTAACCATCGAAAAAGGATTGTGTGCAGTGATGAACAGATATTTCGTTGATAAAATGTCTGTATTGCTTTGCATTGTTTGGTGAAAGGGAGAAGTGACTGCAACAGGTGAACTGTGGGACCAAGGTTGATATAGGGAGTTACCCAATGTCGTTTGAGCTGCAGTTTCTGTTAATTGAAAAGGCATACTGCTTTCAATTTGGGTGGTTCCGACTTCGGTATTTGTCCAAGAAACATTAAGTGACGCGTGCGTGTGCAAAACTGCACCCACAGAAGAACGTCCTGAATCGCTGATTTTAAACGTGCGTGTGGTAGTTTTGTGTGTTGGTGTCGTTTGAGAGAGTGCTTGGATTGTGGTGCGGGTATAAACAGTATTGCTTTGGGAAACACTAGGAGGCGCTTTCGGCTTCTCCACAGACCTACCATTTGAAGACGTTTCTTGAGGTGTGCTGACGTGAAGGCTTGGGGTAGGCGTCCACGAAGAGGATGTCGGAAGTGAATACGACGGCGATATGAAGGCCGACGTCGGGAAGATTGTAGAACCATCAATGGATGTGGTAATTGTGGGGGAACCTGATGAAAGATACGACGACACTGACAACTGTAAGTACGACGATGATGATGATGATGTTGCATCGTCACGGATAGAAGATGAACGAATGGGCACTTCTGACATAGGTCTTTGAGATGCTTCTGGAGAGGACATTGATGCATTCGGCTGAGGAGAGATGACTGAAGATGGTAATCTAGAGTCCAGACTATCACTTGATAAGTCTACCAGTGTGTTGAGTTCTGTTTGGAAATTAGTAAGAAGAGTGCTGTGTTCTGAGTGGTTCGTAAGCGTTCCAAACATTGTTGATGGGGTTGTGTCTTCAGCAGAGACATATGTAGCTGCTAATGTGCGTGAAGGAGAAATAGAAGACGTCAGAGATTCCGAATTCAGAGTCTGTAAGGAATCTCCAGAACCTACTCTAGAATAGGACGCAGAAAAATCTTGTGCACTGTCTCGCGTACTAGACACAAATGACTGAAAAGGGGCGGCACTGAATACTAGGGTTCTTACATCACTATAAAGCGTAGAAAATACACTATGTGTCACTTCTGTCTTTGTTATCAGCTTTGTGGAAACTGACTGATCAACACTTGTTCGTTCAGTAATTTGAGTTGATTCTTCGCTAGACAATTCTTTAGAGATAAATACCGTTTTTGTGATCCAGGAAGTGCGTTGTGAGTTTAGTTCACCATTGGCTGTTGCAACAGAAGTGTACTCAATGACAGTAACCACAGTAGTCATGAAGTGTGCTCCAAGAGAGGAAAGTAGAGGTGAATTGGAATCAGAAGTGACAGAGATGGAAGAATCCTGGATAGCAGTCACATCGTTTGTGCCTAAACAACTTGACAAAGGCCCGTTCTTACCAATGGATTCATATTCGGTCACAGTCGGTGTTTGTAGAACTGTTGTTTTAACTGAGGTCAACACACTCTGATCTTGTCCAGAGGTCATAGTTAGCGGCAGCGGTGGGATAGTTTTTACTATTGTATTGATGAGATCAGATGTTTTACTGGATGGTCGTTGGGAGAATGGAGTGCTTAAGAAGCCGGATAGGTCACTCGTTAGAAACATAAAGAGTGATGAAAATTCAGTTATCGTTGATAACTCATCTGTGGATGAAATACAAAACAAAAAACATATTATTAAATCTTTCAAGAAACGGATTAAGGGATAATGAGAATGTTAATTATAATCAAGAAGTGTTTTAAAGTGAGGGGACTCTATATTATAGTGATTATCATGTCTTGATAGTTTTTCAGCCCTAGTAGGTTTATGTTTCATGTTTTCATCGGACCAAGAGAAGAAAGTATCGGAGGTGTGTTTTCATTTTAAACCAGTCACATTGGTCATATATCTCATAAAGAGTTGGATAGCTTAGGGGAGAAACGTTGCAGAGGAGAAGAGAGAGAGAACGAGAAAAAAGGGCTTAAAGAGCCAAAGTAACATGACGATTGGACGCCCCCTCCCCTAATCCATGATCCTGTTTATGAGTAATTTGCATTAACATCGTCCATAAAGTGAGAATGCCCCCGCCATCTGATGTGGAGGCCTTCCCTCTCAATATTAGCATCCATGCGACACACATTCCACAAGATGTTTGACGAATGGTAATTCGGGCCTCAAAATGTATCAAGCGTTAAAAAAGGGCCTTCGTCCGTCTTAGGAAACACTTTACTTAATATTTCATTTCTAATATCGAATTTAACAGTGACTCGTGCATTCTCCAATAAATTCAGGGACCATGCACGTACCTTCGGAAAAGATATTACCCATCGAGAAGATTGATTGAAGTGGAGTCATTTCAGAAAATACAGCCCAAAGATTACTGTACAACCTTTTTTTGTTTGTGTGTGGGATTAAGGGGATATAATTGCAATGCTACTATACCTGTTTGGTGATTTGACAGACTCATAATATTTGATACAGATGTTAAGAGAATCGTGCTGTGCTTTGACCACGATGATTGGACTCTGTGTGGGTGTGTAATGTGCCTCGAAAAAGGAGTGTTGTGTGCCGTTACCACAGTGTTTACACCATGAAGGGATTCTGTGGTACTTGGTGCCAATAAGGTACTGTCAGAAGGGCGGAGTACCATGGTATATGATGTCAATGAGGCGCTTTCACTAGTACGTGAAATCCTTGTGTGTGGTGCCGTTAAGGTGCCTACAGTGTTTTCACCGAGAAGGGATTCCGTGGTACTTGGTGCCAATAAGGTACCATCAGAAGGGCGGAGTACCATGGTATGTAATGTGTATGAGGCACTTTCACTAGTACGTGAAATCCTTATGTGTTGTGCCATTAAGGTGCCTACAGTGTTTTCACCAAGAAGGAACTCCGTGGTACGTTGTGCCAATAAGGTACCATCAGAAGGGCGGAGTACTATGGTATGTGATATAAATGGGGCGCTTTCACTAGTACGTGAAAGCATTGTGGGTGGTGCCATCGAGGTTCCTTCACTATAACGTGGTGCTGTCGAGGTGCTGTCATAACTTGCTGAAAGAAAGGTATTCTCACCAAAGCGCGGTGCAATTGCGCTTGTGCCAATATTTTGTGCGATTGAGGTGCTTTCACTTTTTCGTGGTGCCGTTGAGAGGAGTTCACTATATCGTGGTTTCTCTGAGGTGCTATAACTATAGCCTGGTACCACAGGTATACCATCAGTATAGCGTGGTGCTACTGACGTGCTTCCACTAAACCGTGGTGCCTCTGAGGTACTGCCACTATACCCGGGTGGCATGGAGGTACTTTGACTAAAGCGTTGCTCTCCTTGGATGTTTTTACTAAAGCTTGGTGCCTCCAAAGTGCTTACACTATATCCTGGTGTCATGAAAGTGCTTTCAATGGTTTGCTGTGTCATTGATAAACTTTCGATAAACGGTGGTGCCAAAATGGTGCTGTCACGAAATCGTGGTGTCAGGTAACTGTTCACATCATGGCTCGATTCGGCTGTGATTAGTGCAAGTGTGGTGCTATTTGATGGCTCTGTAAAATCATACACAAATAGACCATTGTCAACAACAACAAAAGTGGATATCTTGTGACCCCGTTTGCCGAATTTTATGGTTTAAACGTGTTAATATAAATACAAATTATTACGAAAATGATAATCTGACACATGCTCCATTGACACTCGTAAGGGCTTTTATTTTGTCACAGATAGAAGATTAGGGTTTGGTTTTATTTAAAAAAAAGTTTTAGGGTCAGAGTTAGGTTACTTCCTGGTATGAAGTCAGGAATTCGGCTTCTTATACCAATTGACCACGACCAAAAATATGTCCTAGAAAATTTGCAGAATATTTACATGTACTTTTGTCTTCCTACCCCTTTTCTTTTCGCATATATATCCTTGTCTGGTTCCACACCATATATCTCTCCATACTCCATGTGCCTTGTAATCACCGGCTAATAAATCAACGCAATGCTCCATTCCTGGCAAATCAAAAGCAGACGTAACGGTAATCATTATCATAATCATAATCATAATTGTAGCCACAATAAGAATGTAAATGGTGATAATGATAATTAGAACAGCAATCATCAGATTAATAATCAAATTAATGATAACTTTTTTATAATTTTAATATTAATAATAATAATTTTGATAATAATGACGATGATTGTAATGATTATAATAGTATTGCTTATAATATCATCATCATTCACCGGCTAATAAATCAACGCAATGCTCCATTCCTGGCAAATCAAAAGCAGACATAAGGGTGATCATTATCATAATCATAATCATAATTGTAGCCGCAATAAGAATGTTGATGATGGTGATGATAATCAGAACAACAATAATTATATTAATAATCAAATTAATTATAACATTTAATACATTTAATATTGTGATAATAATAAAGATAATGATAGTAATGGCGATGACTGTAATGATTATGATAGTATTGTTTATATCATCATTATTATTATTATCCAGGGAGGCCTAATAATTTTCATTGATGTTCTTCCCGAGTGTCCTGCATTTGTTATCACCCCATCACTGGCTGGATACCAATTTACACTTTGGTGGAAAGTGGCAACTGTGGATTAACTGTCTTGGTCAAAAACGTGAGAGCCGGGCTGTTATTCGAAGTAAGACTATAGAAAGAAAAAAAAACATGCCCAAAACATGCACCATCCACTGAGCTCTAACGGACCTATTCGGATGAAGGACACATACACTGGAAGTGATCTGGCAGAGGCTAACGACGAGGCGCCTTCTTTTGCTCGGAATGAATTGAATTGAATTGCAATTTATTTGTTTCCAATCACAGTAAAGAAATGACATAATAAATTGTTTTAATACATACATAGGTAAAGAAAAATACATTGAAATATTTACATTTATAAAAAAAAAAAAAAAAAAAAGGAGAACAAAATAAGAAAAAGAAAAAGAAGACATGATCAA